AGATCATGGGGTGTAGATCTGCCTCCAGTTTCGGGGACAGCTAACATTGAGCAGAATGCAAAATAAGATTATAATCTTTTCGTTAATTCTGTCGGTTTTCTTCGCCATCGTTCTGTCGAATAGTTTACTGTAATTGTTGCTGTATTTACCAGCTGAGATATTCTGATTTCCCAGACGCGTCTTCCTTCTTATTGGCTTGACAGTTAATGCTTTGAAATTGTTGTTTCCGGTCGGTCATGGGTTCATCGCTCCTAAATTTACGGGCAAGATTTCCTCCTGCCTCTCTTAATCAAGGCACACGCCGCGATGAAAAGCAAGCGCTGGTTGCCTTAACGGGTGGGACTCGCAAGTAGCCGTACGTTCACCAACAGCCTTCCGATGAGAGCTGCGACAATGAATCGATCTGAATTTGTACTCGAGTTCCACAGAGCTCTGTTGAGTTGTCTCATATGTTTCGGCATGCCAGCCTTTAGGGCCAGTCGCGACTGAATCCTGTTGTTTGTGATTTTAGTCTATACTGTGCACATAGGCGGTGTAAGAGAAATGAAAAGGGGATGTCTTTGCCTACTAATATACATACGTGTGTTTTCGGTTCATCCCACCTGTCATGGAGTCTAAAACAAACCATCCCTTCTCAATGTCGATGCCTTGTCCTCCATATTTCACTAGGGGCGGGTAACTTCTAGGGCTTGGATGGCCTCCAGTATAGTGCACATGCACTCGAGTGCACGCGATATACACATGTGGTGTGCGCGTGATTGATAAGTCCGTCTATACTGTAGACAAGATCCGGGCAGCGAGGGATCTCTACTGCAGCTGCTGCGTGTGATGGCCTGTCGGGGTTGAAGAACCTCCACGCGAACTCTCCCCAGTACACTGAATCATGCCCCTTTCGATCCCCCTTCGGTTAATTCGGGCTCATATTTTTCCGCGTATATGAAAATGATTGGTTGTAGTGCTGCTCAGCACTGTAATGGCTCGTTTTGCTGTGGATTTGCGGAGTTTGGCACACTGACTCGACAGGTCAGACAACTGTGCTGTACAAGGGACAATTTGCTGCGCTACTTTCAAGTTTCAGGACCATCCTGCTGGTCTGCAAGCGCTTGAGTAGCAGTAAATATCTTTGCCGGGAACCAGTCAGAGAACTGACACAAACAATCAGCCATTTGGGATTCAGAATACTATTGCTAAAAAGTAACATTACAAAGGGGCCAACACTGAAACACTGAAATGTTTTGAATATTGAGACCTTAAGTCAACGACGTGAAATACTTAAATTCTTGTTAGGTAAATTTTGGGCGGCAAAGCTTCCGTGTACTAATGTGTTAATATGTACATGTAGTTGAGCAAAAACTGGAGGCCGCGTCAAAACTGCACATCCGTCGTGAAACTTTTGCATGATAAGATACATTCTACCGGCGACACAATGCCCAATAACTTCACTTACCGTCAATTATGTAGCACATGCATGGGGTGTGAGTCTTGGTCCTAAAATCATACCAAGTCTGTACCTTACTGCAATTATAAAGGGGGAAAACAAAAACAGAAAAGAAAGGTATAGACAGTCCTAGGCGAAATCTCAGCGGGACACTGTGGCGAGACAAACGGCACTAAAGCATTAGCAGCGGCTGAGGTTTTCGCAAAATAAGGCGGCCACCCAACTAAGCCCGGGCTACTTAAAATCACTCCCCTGAATTCATCCAGAAACACCCGAACATTAAATGGGCAAAATGGCTTCCCATTAGGGCCGCCTTCACGGTTCAGCAGTAAAATTTAATAGGGGCACGGCTAGGCGAGGCAGATGCATGTTGCATGCTGCGCGCCGGTTGAATCACTCACTCAGCCTCCCCCGCGGAATATCTGGATCCCTGCTCCCTCTCTCGTCAAAATCTCGGCATGATCCACCGCCTACGCCACTCGCGCCAGGACCGGGGATTCAGACACGAAGCTCCCATGGAAACTTAAGCCGCCGTACCTCCGGGCGATGAGCGGATAACGTAGCCTGCTTACCATGCATTCCACACCGCTTACCCAGCACGGCCGGGCACAATTTTCGCCAAATTTCTAAGTCACACTCGGGGCTAGTGGCGGCCTAAAATGCAGTCGGAAACTTTGAGGGGTTGTGCCCAACGGCCAGACTCGGTCCCTCACCCTGGTACTTTCCTAATAAGACATGCTATACGGCGTGGCAAGCGGAGTATGGCAGCCAGGGGTCCCTGGAGAGGTGAGCCGCACACGGCAGTCTTGCTCAGTACGCCGGCGCGCAAATAAAGATCGCTCGTCGTTCAACTCCAGAGATCTGCCGACTTGCTAGATCCCGGGCGCGCGCAGGCGAAGACGGGCCGGATTTATTTGGCATCGTGCTCTGACCGACAGCGACCATTCCCTGGACTTTCACTCCAAGCGCCAATCGGGTATCAGTTTCCTACCTCGACAGGAAATGCCTGCATCTATGTTTCAAGGAACAGAACGACGACTGTGCATTATGGAGGCCCCAGTATTTATGCAGTGCTGCTCGGCGCGCTGCTTGGCTTTAGGGTGTCATGCCAATTACAGAATTCGTCATTTTGTGAAAGGCAATGTAAAAACGAATAATGCCCTTAGTCATTGTGGCAAGAGGCAAGGATGGAACTCTAGCTCTGCACGTTAGCATATGGGGGATTGGTTTAAGCCACTGCAGCATGAAATTAACAACGTATACGGTAACTTAAATTGTTATAAGGCTATACCGCCATGCGGTCACTTGATCGGATGAATTCAAGCAGGTACACACTTATAACCGACCCCACAAAAGTCGACCCTTTATCTCACCACGACAGGAATCTCTTTCCTGCAAAAAAACAACCAATTTCGTCACCTTAGGCAAAACTAGCTGCTATCTTTGCAAAAGAGGGTCGACTTTCTCCTTCAAACGTTTCCTTCTAAAAAGTCTCTGTGATCTGGACTGTATAGGCCTATAGATAGACAAAAAACGAACTTGCAGACGATTTCATTCATTTCAACAATGTAAATTATACTGCAAGACAATTAGGTGGTAACCTCCGGCAAACTTAACACCGAACGTTCTTTCCATGAATATGCTATCACTGCAGGTTAGATGGAGATTCGGCCCTTCATGGTTAATTTTGGAAGTGGTGACACATGTGTCAAAGTGTCGAAAAAATAGCGAGCATCTGGAGGATCATGATTTCTGTCTGATCTGCAGAACTATTTTGTCCGCACAGCTGAAGGTCACTCCACGAAAAGTCATAACGCCATGGAATCTCGCTAGGGCAAGGCCTTTGGGTAAAAAACTGTGCCAAAGTTGAAAGGTTTTACGACAGAACCTCACATTGCGCACATTTCAGCGTTTGTCAGCCTAAATTACCAAACTGCATTGATAACTTCAACTCGCAGGTAGGCAAAGCAAAACTAAGACAACCACATTAAAAGTAACATGCAAAATTAATGATCTGTAGGGATGAAAATCCAGTTTTTGACCATCAAGTTAACCGAAACTATTATAATGGGTCGTCAATTCTTGCGCAGTTTAGACTGTTAAACGCATACCTATAACCACTGCTTGCGGTTATAGTCTGGTGGCAGAGATACGACACAAAAAAGAAAAGAAATGTACATGACACGTTAGGCGGGGGAGGTGAAGGTGCTTTTTCTAAAGATCCGTATACTGTTCCCAATAATGGTCCCTTCTCAATGCCTGGGGCCTGGACTTGGTTGTGCGTTGTCTACGTTGCCTGTCCTAGTTAAGTTTCATGACGTAATTCGAAGACGCACGGATAATTCAAAGGGTACCATATGTGCCCTTTAATTAAACTTTCACAGGCATAAAAAAGAACGTAAGATAAAATCTCGACTCCCGCAAACAGATTGACTCACAAACACAAGGGCGTGGAATGAACAAAAAGATATTAGTTTTCAGTAATTCAGTCTCATGCTTTGTCCGGGGTAGGTGTGAACTGTATCTATTTCAACGGGGCGAGGTTGGCATAACAATACCGTGGGCACGTACAGTGCAACCACCAAGCGAACCGAAGGAAAAAAACGCATGGAACGCCATGTTGGTCGTGTGCCCTGTGTCAAAATATTATGTGGGAGGCTCCGACTCCCAATACATGTGTTTTTCATAAATTGAATGTGTACCACAGACGTAAATCATTTAAAATAAATAACAGCCATTGAGAAACGTCAGCAACGGGCCACGGTTTTGTGCAAGCAGCTTTTGTGAGCCTATTCGTGATCCCGGACATTCGAAAAGAAGCAGATCATTACAGAAATATCGCATCGCCACTTTGTGCTGTACAAAATGTGAGACAGATTTTGCAATATTGGCGCGGTTTTGCGACCCCACACTGTCACAGTGTGTATGGCAGCACTCAACGGCACCTACCGAAACGTCACCCCGGGATCGGAAGAGCTGAGATAGATAGTGTGTGAATAAACTAGGTCTTCCCATTAATTTGGCAGGGGATGCTGGTGATCAGAGCTGACAATAATTATCGAGTGCATACAGTGATGTATCGCTGTACTAAAGGAACATGTAACGTCATTATAAAGAGCCAACATCTGTTGTCATACCATTTTTTGTCATATCTATGTTATCGGCCGTACTATACTCTGTCTGGTGCCACCCCTCATCGACAAATGCCAAGTGGGATGAGCCATTGGCTATTTACATGTTGGCTTTGAATACCGCCCCCAACGCCTACACTAGAAGTTGGGGTCTTGGCATCCGGCATCGCACTATGCTAGAACTCAATAGCTTGTACGCGAAACTAAAAGGCGCGATTCCCTCCAGCACCACTGCAGATACACGCACATGTACTGTACATGTACACATTGTACTTTTAGTTCAGGTAGGCCTACGCACAACCGTGTCGATACAATTATACTACTGAGTACCACAGTGCTACTAGTACTACAGACAGCGCATGTACGTTTATATAGGGTAAAGCCAAGGACAATTTATAGCCTGAAACACGAGGAGATGAAGTTCAACTTACTTGAACCAACAATTCCTGATGCAAGGTGGACAGCTACGGCAGATCCAGAACTGCTGATTCTCTTTAAAACGTCGAGCTTATCACGTAGCCGGCACTTCCATCAGACCCTAGACATAAACATGATAAACATGATCAATCGATTGCTAGCATGGCCAATGCCGTACGTGAACTGAGTGAACCATGCGTGAACTGAGTGTGCTGCTTCAAACATGTCGACGGCTCCCTCTGGAGCTGCACAATAACTGGCAGTGCATCACTGTCACTTGCCTTAGAATGCTTTCCCAACGTTGAATTGTTCTTTCATGTGCATGTTCTTGATACTTGTTTCCATGGAGTTCCGTGGTTTTTTCAATCCATTGCGTGCTCGTGATGTTTGGCTAGTTTGTTGGTCATCAGAATAATCACATTCACCGTACACTGCAGCATCAAACAACGCTAGGCGTACATTATCCAGTACGCTATACGGCGCGTGACTAGCACTGTTTTAATTTAACAATGAATGCACGGATACTGTACTGGTGAAGGATTTTCGCGTTCTGACGTAATAGAGTACCGGAGTGTAACGTCACTGTGAACCAGAAAGTGCAGTGCAAACGAATGGAGTACGCACGCGTGTTGGTTCACGCGCTCATGCCTTTTACACACTAATTGTGCGCGTGACGTATCCACTTCGGTACTCTATTAAATGTAGCGTAAACTGGAGAAAACTATGGCGCATTTAAATGCAAGTGTCAAGTCTGGTTTGACTTCTTAAGTTCATACCACATATTTTAACCATATTTTGTGAGTACTGTACTCGAATCGATGTGTTCATATTGGTAAGTACTCACAAAAACGCCATCATGCCCATAAAGATGGGAATCTGCAGGAGTTGAGCGCAATGTGAAGGCGGTCATGTTAATACTTGCCGTGGTAGAGTCAGCTGAGAGCACAGAGCTATAATTGCCTAAATGCCGTTTAGGCAGAAAAAATGCAACAAGGAAAGGACGTAAGACAGCATGACGCGACAGGCGACGGCACGACGCAAGGGACGATGCGACACGTCGTGTGTGTACAAACGCAATGGCAAGAAGGAAGGCGACGGTGCGACGCAAGGGAGCCGTCGTGCCGTCGCGTTGTATAGTTGCGCCTTGGAAGAGGCTTGGGAGAGGCAGAAAGGTATGTCGTAAATAGTACACCATAAGCTCCATGGCTGAGAGTTATCGACTAATTAACACCCTTGTATTCGCTCTCCTCAAGACTGCGTCAATGAACTTTACAGTCATGCTTACACTGGCGCGCGGGAACCGTGCTCGCTTATTAGAAACGGGAACCGCAGTATCCACAGAACACGTTCAATGGATCATACTGAGAAATGAAAGGAAATGGGGTGAGATGCGTACAAAAGGTGCGCCCCAACGTTGCATGCTAAGACTAATGCATGCAATTTACAATTTATTCTTTTGCAACCCAAACACTTTAGAAGAAAACTGATTAGGCCTAAAGGAATATCGTCAGTGCTGTTCCTCGTGTGTTGGCACTCCCGTGACTTTCCCCGAAAGCATCACCACTCCCAGAGTTTAATCGGTGCAATGTGCCTGCCCGAAAATCAGCGGAACGGGCTGGTTTGAAAGCTTTTGTTAGTTCAGTCCCAAACCTACGGTCCGAATGCTGGTGTTCGGGGATCAAAGGCCGCGCATTCATCCAGGCCATCATGACCTCCCGTTGAACAAAATTTTCTTTTACACGTTCTGAAATACACGCATTCAATTTTCTCCTGATTTTGACTTTTGCCATGAAAAATATAGTGCTGAAGTAGAACGGTGGCCACCACAATGTCCGGAAAAGCACGTGTTTTTGTTGAGGGCGCTGTAACAGAATCCATATCAGTGCAGACAACGTGTTAACAGATCATGTATTTTGCTTTTTTCCCGACAGGTTGAACTGTACAGTTTCGCTTTGAGCAGCAAATACTGGTTGAATAACTTGTAATATGTTAATGTGCCGCGTCCAGTGCTCTGGAAATATTTTTTATTGAAAATGATAGAAATACGAATACTGCATGTTTCGTTACGTGTTAAATGTCAATTGTAAAATTGTATTATGTACACAAGAATTTTCTTTCGTTTTTTTCTTGTTTTGCTTCACCTGATCCTATTTATTTTAGTTTAATTAATCTATTGATAATAATTTATTCCCCACAAATTGTTTCGTTTATTCTTTCCTTAATTTGATGATTTTGATACCTAATCAGCTCACTCAATAGTTCTTAACTTAATGTTTTGTCATCAAGTTAGTTCCCTCACTTCTTTTCACATATTTCAATGATACTTTTTAAGGTTATTCGATACTTAATATGATGACTTAATTGTTTTGATGTTTCTACTATAGTTTCGTTGGTATTATTGTGTTTTTGGTGTTAGTGAGTTCCGTTTTTAAAGTATATTTTCTTTATAATAATATTATTGATTGTTCTTTATCAATATTATGAATTGTAATTTTCTTACTGCTACTTATTGTAATTTCATTAAAATTAGTTATTTAAAAACATGCGCAATTGAGCAACTGACTGCAAGTCATGGCATGTTAAAATAAATAATTTCAAAAATCGAAATGAAAATAAAAAGCTGCCCGGGGGGCTTGTGTAAAGTCTAACCAAGGTTTTACGTGTTTTAGCAACAGCACTTCTCATTGGTTGTATAGTTTAGCCCCCCCCCCCACTACTCAGATTTTCTTGAGATTATCCAATCACAACCACGGTACAAAACAAGCCTGGAGGAGTTGATGTGATGTGACACACACCATGTACCAAAGTTGTGCCGCGCTTACCCGGTTACCTCAGCCTCGTTCCCACCGGTACGCTCTTGCGACGCCATAGGAAGGAACGCGCACGCTGCCTATGGAGTCAAGGTTGCAATTACCTTAACTTGTTTACAACATCATGTCTTCCCCGAGTAGGTTACGTTGCGGGCGGGGGAGCAGATTTTCTGCGCTGTAATTCAAGGATGAATATGACAAAATATGGAAAAGCTTATCGTATTATCGGGCTTCTTGTTCTTCCTAGCAGACGTCTTCGCTGTGGCGAGTCTGGCTAATCCAGAATGGGTTATATCAGAAGATGCAAGTAAGTCCAATCATCTGAATTTTGATGCACACGACGCGTAGCCTGGCCTACACCCACCTGTTCCAGCATGGCTTCCTCCTTTCCATGATCTGTCACGAAGTGATGATGCTCACTTCGCGTTGTAAGTTACTACCATGCATGCATGGAGGAAGGAAACCATGTAACTGACCCATCACGCCCATATAGTTTGCTTTTCAGTTGTCGGGTTTAGAACTAGGACTATGTATAATGTCACTAAAACACTGAATGTCATGTTTTCATATTTGCAAACTCGAATTTGTCTGATTTCTCGCTTCGAGCAGTGCAGTGGATTCAAAAGGTCAGTAATTAAGTCAACCAACATGCCTTGGGCTTCACTGCAACAGCTCACTTGCTATCCAAAAGTGCCCACTTGCTGGGAAATCCCACTAGGTTCTAGGCCCGTTATTCTGTGGGCTTTACATTGATTTCAGTGCCATAGTTCTTTTTCCACCTTAAAGTTTATTGCTTGATTTATGTGGAGACGTCATAATATGCATGTATGCTGGTATCCAGTATCCCCAGAACTGTGGGGTCCGACGTCCGCCCTACTCCCACGAGCAGGGCAGATGTCAGACTCCACAGTTCTGGGGGTAGATGTCTAGTTCATAAATGTACCATTGCAATTACCAGTTCATTTCATAAGCTCACCCTCTTGTGCACAATAACAGGTCATGAATGTGCTTGTTACATCACAAGGAGGTTGAGCTCGTGTACTACGCATTTGCTTTGTCTGGCTATATCAGAATGTCTCCTCATAGTGCAAGCACTGCACATGATAGTCCTGTTAGTGCTAGCACTAACTACATGAACATGTACAAGTCCAGTTTAAAACTGGTTTATTCAGCAGATAGTTGACCGTGACTGACCAAATAATTCCCAGTAAGAGTTCAAAACTCACCACTGTCGTGTTTGTTGGTCACTTCACTTTGGATGAAAGAAATCTCAGACAGTGGTGGGAAGTCATCAAATAATAATCATATTTGATCAGGCACATCATTAGCTCAAGTGAGCTGCCCTGCCAAGGATATGTCTTAGTCCTCGATACCCATAATGCAGTTGGGTCTCCAAGCAAAATGGTGTATGGGGTGCCTAGTAGTCACAATATTAAACGCATTCACTTCACATGGTCAGTCAACCAATGACAAAGCATTTAGCATCAAACATTTTGTATGGAATAAGTTAAAAAAAAATTTTCTTTTTCATGATTGATGCATGCTAAATGTACAGTTTTTACTGCTTTCTTGTTTGGGCTCACTTTTCCTGTGCTAGTTCATTTTTCTTGTTGGGGCTCATTGTTCTTGTGCAGGTAATATCAGGATTGGCTTGACGTCACAGTGCCTTACAATTTTTGGTCGGGACCCTGTTTGTCTGGCGCCCAACCTGTCGCCTGAATGGATAGCCACATTGGTTTTCATCATTCTCGGCATTCTCTGCTTGACAGTCACATGCGTACTGTTGGCCATCTCACTCAAGAAGTTCACTGCCTTGAAGTACGCAAGATGGGTGGCATTTTCTGCGAGTGAGTTTTTCTATTCTGTTTTTTTTAAACTTCAGCAGCATGTGAGACAAAAAAGTAGATCATATCAAGTTCTTGTGAAGTTTCCAGAGTTGGTCTTGGACCCGGTCTGGATGCTTTGTCATTGCTTGCCCAACTTTAATTTACATGTTTATCTTGCAAACAGTGATCTTCTTCTGTGTGGCCGCTCTCATCTTTCCGGTCGGGTTTTATGTGGACGAGATAGGTGGGGAGCCCTACAAGCTACCCACCACTGTCAAGGTGGGCTCCTCCTATGTCATGTTCATCCTAGCCATCTTCCTCACCATCATCTCCGAGCTGTTTGCTGGCAAGATATGCCTCCCGAGACTTTGATGATTTGGGAGCAGCTGGAAGCAACTGGATCGGGAGTGGCGAAAAAAAAGAAAGAAAAGATGCAATTTAGAGCTTTTTTTTTTTAAACATGAAGCCAAAAAGGAACAGCCTTAAAATGGTGGCCTCAGCTTTTCCTGTTGTGCCTTGTCTGCCCTCATTTAATCCATTGAAAGGAAACTTAGAATAGTTGTATAATAACATCAACAAACCACTCAACAAAAATGAAGCAGAATTTTTTTTGTCTTTTAGAAAAAATCTTTAGGCATTCTTTAGCATTTTCCAGGACTGGAGAAGTTCCAGACAATGTTTTCATGCTGCAGTATTCACACCCTTAGACATGTTCAAGAGATACTAGAACATACTGTGCATGAGTAGTTTATTTTATTATTTTATGATCCCATAGAAGAGTCTTGCAGTATTTTAACCCCTTGACGACGGGAATTTCTTTCTGAAAGCCGACTCCAAGAATTCCAGCCTCGCTTGGCCACGAAGTCCACCTGCCAAACCGCAAATTTTCGGTTTGTAGCCCTGCGTGCTCTGCATGCTTTGAATTACACAGTGAAAAGGCTAATTGTTCGGTGGCATACGGCTTTACTCACGCTTCCACATTCCCGTTGCCTCTTTTCAAAGTGGAGACTATTGTGAAGCTGGTGATTATGATGCAAATTCGGTCTTTTCATTTCTGGGCTACACAAAGGCCAATCGCTATATATACAAGAGCCAGGGTCTGCCTTCTTTCTCCGTGTTCGCTCGAGCGTGGGCCGAGAATAATAGCTGAAAAGCGGTCCGAGGATCTCAATTTTTACGGTGGCACTAGCCGCGTCCTTGTGCGAAGGGGATAAAATCGAGGACTTTTAATCCAGTTGTTTTTCAATTTTGAATTAAATCAACAAACAGTGGATGTGAATGTGTAGCACATTCATCATGATAAACATTTACTTCTTTATGACTGGTATCAATTTTTATTTTTAACTGAATAAGGGTATAGTCAAATATCTTTAAAAAAGAAAAGAAACTATCACAGATTTATTTGTATATTTGGTAGTGTTTAAGTTTGGCAACCCAAGTTCATGTTTGCATTCTCTAGATCAGAGGACTGGAATTGTATTATTAATTCATTATTAAAGTTTCTTGAAGTTTTGTGTTCCAGAGCGGGAAAGTAAGCTACAATTCTCTTTGTCCTTATGCGATGGATTTCGTAAAATTCCAGTATTCAATGAGGTAAATGTTTTTTAATCATTTCATTTACATGGAGTCGACCACAGAAGTGGCATTTTTCAGAGTGGAATCAACCACAGAAGTGGCATTTTTCAAAATGGTTCCTTTCTGTGGTAGTTTTGTTGCAAAATTGCTGCAGTAAGCATTTGATGTTAGTCCGGCCTAACATCTGGATTATATTCCTACAAAGAATCCAATAAACGATGTGTCCTTTATTCGTCCTTTTTTTAATATTTCTTTTTTGGAAGAATAAACACAGCTCCTATTTCTGATCAAGGTCTGATAAGTCAGAAAAGTGCTGGCAGTTATTTTCCCAGGTTAACTTAGGTCACGTTTATCAAAATGTGAGATTGATCTAAAGCTTGGTTTGCTCTGATGCACTTGGGTGTATGTTTATTTCCTATTTTGCCCTGTGAGCAGTCCTGTGGGTTTTGATTTTCACATTTTGTATTCTGCGTCATCAAACCAGAAGTTTTGTACATGTACTTGCGTTTCTTAAAAGGCATATATTTATATTTTTATATAGTTATTTAGATCCTTTTATTGTGACTAAAACTACAAGAGTTTTGACACTGAGTCATTCGGGGTGTCAATGTCTTACAAAAACTCAAGATACTTGAGGACTCGCCACCTTGATGTGGATTGGTAAAATGCATGTAATGAATCGTACATGTACATGTCACCCTGTCTGAGCTTCCTGTTTTAGAGAGATCACAAGATGTTACAGTAAGCATGTGGCTTATTTTGCACATCGTTCACTGCACGTGCATGTGCAGTTTTGTAAGCATCATTCTCTGCTCAAAAGGGCATTCGGATCTCATGTGGTACCACCACATTAGTATTTGAAATTTTGTTTGACGGATTAGTCGACACAGTTTACATGTACATGTACTGTATGAACTGTCCTCAGAAATATGGCCATTCTGTATGGTATTGCCCATGTCTCCTGGCACAGAGCAATGAAAACTTTCAAATTACACATGGGACCAAGTGTTGCCAGAAGAGGTTAGCCTCAAATGTTTCATTCCTGCTTAAAATGGCAGACAATTCTCAACTTGTGAAGTGCACGCTATGTGTGCGATATTCATTAGCCTGTGGACAGCAAGTAGAGAAGTATTTGTGCCACTTCGAACTTGGAATTTGGTCAAACCAAACGGCTGTACGATTAAATCAAAATTTTTTATCTTCCCACCATAGGAATCATTGATTTGATTTCTAATGTGCTGTTCTTTTCCCACAGGGATAACCTGTATACGTCATTTAAAAAAATTTTTTTTAAACACCTTAATGCAGTTTAGCCATTCCTATGGTGCAGAGCCCATCTTGTGGCTGGTACTGTACTAAACTATTGATAAAACACCGGCTGGCTGCTCTTAAATGCTTTCCCGGTGTCACACGAGACTTGGACTCCTCTGAAATGTGGACCCTTTTCCCTTGTATTTGTTGAACATTCTAAATTGTCACCTATGTTAAAGCTGTGCATAGTACTGCCAATAAGTCTGCATTTTGAGAGTCCCAAATTCACACCGCGCAGGCCTATTGCCACCTCAGCTCAAGCAGTGTGTGTGCCAAATGCGCAGCGATCTCAAATGATCAGCGATATCAGGAGACTGTTTAGGACTGCTCATAAGAGACGCATACAAAATATAGTCAGAGGGGTGTTTGAAAACTTGTTGGACAAGTGCATTGTAAGTTTATGATTGTTCAATGACTCGCTGACTCAAAAGGTATTTACGAATGGGAATAAATATGTGCCTGGCCAAAAAATGGATCGGGAAAATACATGTCGTAATGACTCGATCCAAAGGGGGGGGGGACATTTTCATCGTCCATTCTCCTTAGCCAGTCTTAAATGGATGTTTAGGACTGGCAGAGCAGCTAGTTATTCCCTCAGATCCTGAACTGTATGATTTGCTGTGTGCAAAAAATGAGTGTACTAATAAAATATTTTTTCCTTAAATGTTTCTGCTCATGCACTCTGCATCATGTTGTTTTGAGTCAACTGAGAGGTCAAACCTCACATCATGTGTAGCTGTGTCTTTATTGGCTGTGGCTGGCAGTAATGTGTCTATGGGAAGCGGCTACCATGTGGGATTGTGAAATTGTCAGCAGTGGCCACAAATATTCAGACGCAGCCTTTTAAAAGGATTCTACAGTGTAGTAATGACAACCATACATGGATTTCAAAGCATTTCTTAAGGTGACCATAGGAAACCAGTGAACGTGTGCATAAGAAACTGCAATAAGTGACAATTAGTTTCAAAATGTCAACCAACAAAAACAGGCAATATCTGCTTTCAAAGGGAGAGAGTACCTTCACAATTTTTTGTACAACCAACCTAAAATCATTTATTACAAGGTCAACCATGACCAAAAGTGGGCCAATGTTAGTAACAGATTCTGAATTCAACTGTAATAACCAACAATTTTGTGCAAGGTTTTCTCATCCTTATAAATGTGCCTTCACCAAAGCCTCAAGTCCAAACTTACTGAAGCTTTAGTTCTAATTAAAACTAAAAAGCTGGTCCATCAGGACCACTTCGAAGTGAAACGTGGAATGTTATGACTGTAAACAAAAGAAATAATCAATGCATAAGTATCAAGAAAGTTTCAAAAACTGACCTATTCAGGTACCAGAAAACCTGTAGAAAAGTGAAATGCTAGACTTTCTGTGCAATTAGGATTTCCAAACATGCAAGCATGCAAACAAAACTCGTAAGAAAGACAGTGAAAAATTAAGGACAATTTCCCTATTGAAGATGATGCATCTTTTTGCTTCTGTCTGGAAAAGCTGCGTTCTCAAAGATTCACGGGGTAAGTGTGGTTCATTTGTGCTTGTAAAATGCAGGTCATATTATCTGAGCTGAACGCAAACCAAAGCCTAACAAACACGACAGGCTAACACCAAAAACTAGTAACTCACATCAAAATGTTCCAACTTACACCTGGGGTAAAAATCAAATGTTTTTTTTATCAGACATACTCTACAGTGAGGTATATCTTTTAACTAGAAAATCAGTTACCACGTTAAGTTGGTATAAACCTTAATTGGGATAGAAATACATTTCTTTAATGTGCAGTATATCCTATTTGGGGTATTATCCATTACTGATTCGGCTAATCTACTTCAGCATTACATCTCCATGGGGGTATTTCCCCCATTTGAGTACATCCTAATGCCCGGTTTGGGGGGTGTTGTTTCTACACGCGCATGCCGGCCACAGCTGACTCCAGGGACTTGTAGTTCCAGATGACCACTTGACCGTCCACGCTGGTCGAAGTCAGCTTGGTGATGTTCTCCTTGCTCCCAGAGTGGATGGAGATTTGACTGCATTGATGGAAAAGTATCAACCAAAATACACTCATAACATTTCAGGAGTTTTAAATTACTCCTGTAACATCACCCTTTGGTGGAAAGTGTCACGTTTATATAATATTCATTATAAAGTAATTTAAACAATTTAGAGAAATAGTTTAGGGAAATAGTTTAAGTGAGAGTATACATGCAGACAGGGAACAGTAGATTCATGCAAGAATGAATCTACAGTACCTCATCCATTCTCCTTACATGACAGACGATAGTCTGAATTCCCATTTACACCGTGCCATTCCAACAATACCTTGCACTGCCTTGAACACACAGAAACCACCCACCAATGCGTTTGTTCTTGACAGAAACAGAGGGTGTTCTGGATTGAAAGAAGCACTATTTTCATAGGAAAGGTCTTATGTAATTGGCCGGACTGCTATATTTAGCATCACAGAAGGCTGCAGTTTGGCTTGAGAACAATGCAATTTTTTATTGAGCCTTCTCCTTAGTAGTGGCGCTAATTGTAAATGAGTTGTGCTTGACATTAACATGCGGGTTCAAATAGCTCTTGTAAACTGGGTGCATATAGGAACAAATAATTCAGTTCTTGCTTTCAATCCCTCAGATCTCACAACGCATCTTGGGCAAAAGGCTGCCTACTCCATGTTGGGTACACACCATTTTTCCCTCCAAGTGAGTTGTTTTTCAAATTCTGATCTCCAATTTGAAACACCTGTTCCTGCATGCCAGATTTTGGCACCCTGATGCCACTGCTCAGTTAAGCGTGGCCAGAATGGTCTGACCCACTGCATGACAGCAGGCACTCCACTTGTGGTGGAAGTGTTTTTAAACAGATTAAAATCTGTGGCACATGTTTCCTGCAAGAGAAGTGGTAACCTTAAAATGTAACCCTCTCAAGTTGGCAAAAATCACTTAGAGGGGCTTGCTTTTTGATGGCCAGGCTTACGTGATGGAGTTCTGGTGAACGGAGCTCCTAGCCGTATCTTGCTCTGTAGTTGCCTTCTTGTCCAGCTGGCGGAACTTGGCCATAGCACTAGAAAGCAATTTAAAAAAAAAAATGGTATGTCTTTCTGGAACATGACCACTTTCACAATAAACTGCCGTGCACTGTAACCTAAGCAAAGCTGATAAATATATATCTGCTTGATGTGGGGGGGAGGGGAAATCGGAGGCCTTGTGTTTGTAGTTTGGTGCACTTTTTTGAAAACATTGGATATACTAACTAATAAAAATGCAGCATTGGGAATTGGAGGATTGAGAGTTGCAGAACAGTGATTTTATCATCGGGCATGAGGACTCTAGGTCCATGCTCTAGAACTGAGTAGCCCCAAAAAAGGAGTGTGCCATCAAGTTGACAGATCTGTTTTGTCGGTTCCATTACGTGACTCAGTGAATTCTAACCAACATTTTTAGGGTAATTTGAGTGAATTGGGTTTCTTGGCCTTTGTTTTCAATACTACAGTGTATTTGATACAAATGTTAGGCCGTACACTAACTCATAAACATGTACAGTAAACTCCGGCCAAGTCGGCACTTTTGGGACTCAAGAAATTATGACGACTTACGCAAATGCCGACTTGTGCTGTAAGTCCTCATTTTGCTGACTTGCGCGTACACATGAATTGCCTATGTAAATGTACATTATGATTCCTTGCACTAATTCAATGGCTTTTATTTACCCCGGTTTATTTCTACCTCCATGGCCCATCCCAGCAAATTTGCTCTCGATTATTATCCTCAGGGGCTGCAAATTCAATAATTGATCATGTGCCCCTAAGGACGAAGCAAGGATGGCAAGCCACCTGCATATCACATCACGACTCGACAGTGCAGCACGTACATGTACGTGCTATAGTTACTGTACAGAAAACATACTGTACACTCATCCGCACACGCATTGGTTAAGTTCGTTCAATAAGGCAACCCCAAAATGGACAGAGTGCAGGGGTGTAGCACTAGGGTTACTGGTATTGATGTACTGAGTGATGTACTCATGCTGGCCGATTATCAACCACAGCCTGTGCTTCTGGTAAACAGATATCAGTCAAGCAGTGTGGGTCTTGTCACTTGACACTTCTTGGAAACCGTGGCGAAGGAAACTAATAACGATTTTTTTTAATGCCGACTTAGGCGAAGAAATTTTTGTGGTTTTTGTGGAAAAGGGACGGAGAAAAACATACTGACTTGACAAAATGACAACTTACTAACGCCCACTCAGAAATGACATTTTCAAAGGAAACGCATTACAGACAATCGTGACTTCTGTCAAAAGGCCGACTTAGACGGTATGACGAGTTACGTGATGCCGACTTAGTCAAAGTTTACTGTATAATGAACATGTTCTAGCTGGCTTGCCGTCTATTACATAGTTCTCAGATAACTTTGCCTTTTTGTATACTGAAATGGTATTACCAGAATTACATGCACCTGTAAATGCACAACCCTGACATGACGCATTCATCTCTTGTGACTCTGCATAACTGAAAACTTCAGCGTCCAATCACATTCTTCTCGTTCTTCTGTCATGGCAGTGGATTTTCCATTTAAAGTGCCCTTACCTCAGGTTACCAGATTCCTTCTTCTTCTCCACTCCCAGCTTGCTCACGAAGGTGACTTTCTCTGAGTCGTCAATGTTGAACAGGATCAGCTCACAGTCATGGCCCTGCACAAAAAGAAACAGGTACGGGGGGGGGGAACATTATGTACAAAACACTTCATTTGCAAAGGTTGCTCACCAGTACCATTCAAACGACTTTCAGCTTGAAGTACACAGACATTTAATATTATTGAATTTTAACTTGATTTAAAGTCAATGGCGTTATGGTATTTTTTCTGATGCTTTAAACCTAAGTTATACAGAAAGTCACTTGTACCTTGGCGTCTGGGACACAAAACATGAATTTTTGCTATTACCATGAATTAAATTAAAGCTTCTTATAGGTTGCAATGCATGAATTCTACGTTGTCTACACCTTGCTGCACAGAAATAAAAATCTCAAATTCCATTTGTTAAAAATCTGCAAAGCTGATAACTTTTGAGGCTTTTTTTCTGGAGGAGGAGGGGACCTAACTACATCCTTTCAAAGTTTCTGGTCAAGGAAATGCTAAGAGAGGATCTACATCTTTCAAAATATCTAGTATTAATAACTGCCAGTTTTCAGAAACGGTTTTGTGATTGAGCGTAAGAATAAAAATCGCCCCCACAGAACTGTGACCTGCTCTGTGAAAATGAGTCCGAAGGCCATTTTTATCGGTAACTTTCATTCCATTTCCATTAAAAAGAGCAAATCAGGCTTTTGCTCTTGTATCCCTCATCTTTATCTCTGATAAAAGTAGACATTGTGTAGATAACAAATAATGACAATTTCTATTGATTTCTATAGTGCAAGATTCTTTTAAATGCCTGTAAACTCAAAAGTGTCGAGGAGGTGAGGACCGGGGGGGGGTTGGGGGTCAATCCAAATTTTAAAATACAAAAAGTTTAAAACATAAAATAACAATTATGATCATAATAAAAAAAGATGACATCAGGTCTTGACATTAATTTTGTTACCACAAATTTTAACAAATTTTACTTGCCAACTGCACAAGGCTAACTTGAATTGTTGTCAAGATTTGTTTGGGTAGATGATCCACATGTGTACTTTGAGTACCAATGTCAAGATATTTATTCCATGAGGCGGCAGGATGCTGTTTCTACACTGCAAAACCCTCATAAAAATCCAAAACTAAATGCCATGTTTTTGTCAACCGTAAACTTAAGAAATGGCCTCTCCCTGGCAACGTCTTGGAGCCACATTGTATTTAACATTTAAACAACAAAGTGACTGCTCACAGCAACAACAAGGCTGTGTGGCCCGGCCCACTCGCAGGTCAGGAAGGGCAGGTTGCCAGTCCGCTGCACGCCGACGTGGAAGTCTGCCACAGAGTTCACCACGGACACCGTGCTGTCATGGCCCACCCAGGCCAGGCGGGTACCCGAGGCATCAAAAGCCACACTGTGCACCCAACCACCAGAGCCTGTGGGAAATGGAAGAGAGAGTCAAGCATTCTTGATTGTGCGTGGATTTCAAGGACTGATGATGTTAGGACTCAAGAAACAGTGCCTCAATTTCTTTACAAAAAACACAGTAAAATAAAAAGGAGATCTTCCTAAATTTCATATGTTCAATGGATATGTTTGGCAAACAATAAAAATTACTACAATTCCTGTGACTTTCTGCATTCCAAAATTTACAAACAGGTCCTTTTAATCTGCTAGATGTCTATGCCTTTGAAGGTAATGCTAGAAACGCTTGGGTCAGAGACTGTGGTTGTTTTTCATGTGTCCACTTGTTCAGTGACCTGAATTTTTGACAAACAAAACGTTAAATGTAACATGGCTACCAGATTCTTTTAACTGGCCTTTTTATGAGTTGTTGGGAAACCACATTTCTGTCCAGAATTTATTTCTTTTTTTCGCCTTTTCTCCCTCTTATTTTTCTACCAAATCCCAGAGACTTTGTACATGACTCCACCAGTTTTGAATCATCAATCTTAAACATGATAAGACCTTACGCAGATGTGCACTGAACATTGATGTTATGACGAAGTGATCAAAAGTGACGACAAACCATTACTGGTCAATTTTGAGGCTTAATATCTCTGAAACAAGTCCCATTAAGGAGAAACTTTGTTTCACCATAGGTTCTATGTGTTACAGGTGAAAATTAAGATGTCAGCACAATGATGTAATGTCATTATTTTTAAGGCATTTCTTTTTCATGTTCTGAACATGGTATCCTCAATTCTTTGTGAGGTAAAGTTAATATGCAACCTGTGTGCCATAATGTAATCATAATGATGTCATCAATGTAGCATATTCTTGCACATGTGAAATATCCAGTCCTCTTGAAACATAGTGGAAAGGTGTTGTATTAATTGTGCATTGTAGACATGAAATGATGTCAGGATGAAGCTGTTGGCCAATTTTTTAATTCATTGCTACAGATTTTCCTTTTATTTTCTGCTACAAGTACTTTTGGGCACTCTTGCAAGTTTGATTTATTTGAAATTTCTTAGTGATAAAGTCATTCAAGATTACTAATATTATCACTTGCAATAAACTTCATGATGTCATTGAGTGACCTGACATAGATATTTTTTAAACTGAACCCTGTTGATATTTTACATTTTTCCTTACATTAAACCAAGAGAGATTGCTTTGAAAGCTTTCAGAAAGCAGGACAGCCCTGTGTTCTGTGAAAAACAGATGCAAAGTCTAGTTTTGAAATTGATTTTTTTCCATGCAACAATAGTTGCATTCTTGGTATTTTCCCACAGTGTACTTTGGATAATCCATCTAAAAAAAATGTAAGCAATAATGAATAAGGATTCTGCTAACTCTACTATACATTCCGTGGTCTGATGAGTTTAACCATCAATGCCACATCCATTACCTCCGGCACTGAGCTCTTGCATGCAGTTCCCAAATGGCATCTTCTTGCCCCAGCTGTTAGCTTCAGGCTTGTCTTCAATCTCCTTGATGTACGCCGAAAACACCCTGATGGGAAAGAGAAGGATACTCATAATTTGGGATCCTCAGCCAATCATTCACCTTAACATTGGATCAAGCCAATATTGAAACTCATTATCGGCAGTGCCCCGACTCCCCCCAAAGAGGAAAACTTGAAACCACCCAAAAAAATCCACTAGTTTCTCATCCGGTTTTTTTACAGGAGAAGGTGGTTTGTTTTTTAACCCTACAAGATTTTTTAAGATGGCAGATGGATATCTTGGACTCTTTTGCTAACACTTTTGGGTCCCAAGTAAGGAGCTTTGACCCCCAACTAACAATCTTTAAACTTTAAAACTAACATTTGCTAAGCAGAGAACATTTATAACATACTGGGGCAACAGTTGATGAGCCTCCATCTCCAACGACCCGATTGATAATGTCGTTGACTTTGGAGATTCCAGCTTATCAGACGCAAGTCAAAAGGCTAGGGATTTGTGAACAGACCGCAACGGACAAAGGGGGGGGGGAGTTGCAAAACGCAGTGACTGGACAAAGGATCAGGCAACCAAGGAATGAGAAAGACTGTGCTGGGATTAAAATGTCAGGCCCTCTAATTTTTTCAGTTCATAAATTTGTATGCAAAACCTGATGAAAGACAAATCATATGAACTTAACATTTCACAGCTTTGTGACTAGTGCCTCTTTTTTGTGAAACAATATTTCTCCAATGATAAGCAAAATCCTGTGCTCTCTGACATTGGCTCCAGCCTGCTGTACCTTGCTTTGAAGTCAGCCGAGCCGGCAGCCAGCAGATAGTTGTTGGGGTGCCAGTCCAGGCTGGTCACGGTCGAGCGGATCGGCTTCTTGATGTGCTTGCTCACCCACCTGCGTATCGAGAACAAGTCAGTTCAACCAGAACAACTCTAAGTGAGCGCCAGTTCTCAATGATTGACCAATGAGATCATCGCAAACACAGGAGACGCACAGTCAACATGTAGAGGCTTAGATGAAAACAATCAACTAGAGCCATTCTTCACCTCTCCTTTAGAGAAAAATCAGCTTTAAAAAGATGGAGAGCCCATTCCTTTGTTGTTCATTTCACCACAACCTCATAACTCTTTAAAACTTGAATTTAACGAAAGCCTAACTGATTTTCTTTCAAATCATTTCTTAGTTCACCGCCACATCTGGCTACCAGTGTAACTACAAACAAAATCATTTCCATCATACATAATCAATGACAAACTTCAGGAGCTTTCAATTTTTCAGTCTATGTCCTTGGTGAGAACCTACGAAGAAAGGGTGAGATTTTAGAGAGATGGAATTTCCATGAAATAATCATGAGAGCCTTTGAGGACCCAAAAGCAGTGTAGGGTCTATGGTAAACATTTAAAGCACTCTTAAATTACCCACTTCTTATGCTATATATCAACTTTTATGTGATAAGACCTTATAGTAAACTCAGGCTCTTCCAGAATTGTGTAAAAAATCCTCGAATCCTGGTGAAAAAATCCTGAAATCAAGAAAGTCCTGACGAATCTCAGGCCTGTATACAGGTTTCTGCCACTTATTTTCTTTGACTTTAACTCACCAGTCGTTTTCCTGCTCAAAGTAGCAAACTGAAATCAAACGAGCACCACTGCCGACAGCAAACTTGTTCTCTGGCAAATGACACATAAAGCTCACACATTTCAAACCTGGGCTTATTTTTATGAACAAATAAATCTGATTGTTTTATGCAACGATAACTTTTCATACTCATGGTGTTGGACATGTTGAAATCCCTAGAATTTAGAATCAAGAGGGTGACAAAGTAATATAGTAATATAACAAAGTAATATATATGACATATGAGAACACCTAACTGTTCCAAAATGGTTATGCAAGTCCACTGAACACTACTCCCAAGCTAATGCGAGTTCCAAATTATACTCCTGAATAGAGAGAAACAAGTAATTGTAAAGCGGCTTGCCCATGGACACAACGCTTGGACAGCAACTGGATTCAAATCCCTGACCCTCCTATCACAATCGGTGTCACACAACATTGGCAGTAGCGCCCTCTCCACTACAGAGGGCGCTACTGTCAGCTCTGTTCTAGAGGTTTTCCTTTGTATGTGTTCAATGGAGAGAAATTCTGGGATGATTACTATTGTTACACTGTACTGGGCAAAGGCTGCAGGAATACACAATAAAGGCTTTCCTTTTACAGTACATTGTTGTGTAGTGAGGTAGACGTAGAAATTCACAGACCCGCGACAAAACACCACACTCTCCCTCCTACTGAAAGCAGCGCAAGTGGAACACCTACCCAAGGGGGACCACTTGACGCAGGTGGCCGCACGGTTGATACGCAGGATCACAAGGGTTGGTTTCCACCCATCTTTGCCGTTCAGCGTCCAGACGTAGGCATTACGGTCCTGCCAGAAAAGGGTAATACAATAAGGAAGGTTTCCAACATTATCAATGAACAATGTATAGCTTTTCTTAATCTTTCAATCTTAAATCCATGGGGCTTTTAAACTATCATTAGAGGCTTGAGAAATACAAAGTGTGAAATATCAAGTGAAATTGAATGGGGGCCGGATGAGTTACTTGGATCAAGGCCTTGTGTATCAGACAGTGACTGAACTGCAGTGATTGAACCATACCAAAGAGTACTCTTGAGAGTATTTCGAAAGGATTGAGCCTTTTTTAATGGTGTAACTATCACGTTTTTTACAACACAACCTTTGCTGAAATCAATCTTGTGTTCCCAGGATGGTCTAAAGTTAAAAAGCAGTCTGGACATCTCCATATACATGTCTGAGACCACTAAATAAGCAATACAAAAGCTCTGTCTGGTCCCATAAATTCCAAAGCAACTGTGCATCCCTGACTGCGTTGGGAACCTTTCGGGGAGAACCAAGCAATGTGGGAGCTACTTTGCTCAGATAGGATACAGCTCTCAGTAACAGGGGCTGGATGACTGATACCTTGTCCGTGACTCCTTACACCCATGCAATTAACCATACATGCAAGTGCTGCTAGAAATACTTCACATTATTAGTTCAGAATCACATGTTTTGAATACAAAGGTGTCCCACTCCATTAGTTTTTATCTGTTTCATCCTGCAAGACAACAAAAATGAGGCCTTCTCTCCAGTAAATCCTGCAGCATTTGAAAATACAGTGGTACCAACTGCAGACTATTTCAATCAAGCAGTCGCACACAGAAGTCTCTTTCATAAGTCTGTTTTGGGCGGATGCACTGTTCTGAAAATTTAAGCAGGTAAAACGAGCTCACCGTGCCGCAGGTAACGAGACGGTTGCTGTTCGGTGCCCAGTCGATACTAGTCACACGTTGGGTGTGCTGAAACCAACAAATGGTAAAAACACTCAAAGTTCACTCGGCTTTGATTATAAATTGAGTCTGAACACCGTACTCTGTATAGCGGTATACAGACAGGACAAATTGAAGTTAAAAGACTGTGTTCATGTAACACAAAAGGACCTCTCCTGGAATCCCTCGAATAGCCTGGCTATTATATGGAACGCTGGTGCCAATGAGCCTCGAGCTGAACCAAGAGGGGGTGCAATTTCTCAGCAACAGTGGCTCCTTTGGTCAAAACTGAACCTCTCTGGTTCACAACCATCAAATGAAAAGCACGCGTTACAGTCACATCACTACCAACAAAATGAACACTCCTGACCAATATGGCTCTTTTCAACCAACAAGTGGGTGTTTCTGCTCGAGGTGGATAATGCTTGAAAAATGTGGCTGGTGCTTGCCAACTTTTCAAAACTGAATCGCCTGTTTGTAGCCATATCTCAGCAAGCGTCACTTTTACTGTTGTACACTTTAGTGTCATTTCATCTCATACTAGGGTGGTTTTTCTAATACACAGCTACACTGTGGCTTTGTGTATACAGATTCAGTTAAAGACTGTCTGTATGCCTGGTGTTCCATGTGCTTGCATGCAAGCAGAACACAAGCAACATACGGTGTGTTCTTCTAAGGAGTCCACACAACACGTGGATAGGTATTAAGTGTTGAGCATTCAAATTTGCTCGGGAAAAAAATGCTGCATCTAAAATTACACACACCTCACTCAAGGTGTACAGTTTCTCGTAGCTGGGCCCCTTCTTGGCGTAGATGTGCACTTCATGGCTGTTGGGTGAGATGGCAATTTCTATCACAAGAAAAAAAAAGATAGCAAGATTATATTTATTGGACCATGAATCTAACTGTTATAAGGCCAACAGCATCATGCAAATGTGTATCATAGCGTATATGGACTACATCATGGACAAAAAGCCAACGAATTACAACTCTACAGTAGACTTTATGAACCACTGCTCACTCGAAAAAGTCCTGTATGGTGTATGAGCACGTATTTTGAAAAACGTGATATGTTGGCCTGGCACATCCAGAAATAAGCCTTTTGCGAGTTAAATTTGAATAAAATCTGGTACACTGAGTTATCTGATAGCATATAAATAGGAAGTTTAATTCCCCAGACTAAAGACACCGTTACTATACCACGTGATTCAGGGCAAGCATCTCTCAAATGGACTGGTTCCTTTGTGATGTTCTTATCCATTGAAAACAGTGTATCTGCCTCAAGCAGAAACACCCCTCCTCAGTTGAAAAGAGCCATGTTGGGGGGAGGGGCTATTCATTTTGCTGGTAGCGACGCAACCCAAAATGCATGTATTTCCTAGTCATTTGTCAACCAGCAACGTACCGGTTCCCAACAACAGCCCCTACGTTGCTAGGAAAATTGTGCCCTCTTTTGGTCCAGCTTGGTGCTCATTGGTGCAAGGCGTAGATATAGCAACAGTGTCTTTAAAAGTAATCATTAGTTCTTATATGGCACAGATTATGGAATGTCTCTATGCACTTATTATCATTATCCCTGTACATTGGGCTCACATCATCTGAACATTCCTGAAACCATCTCAGCTCCCTGGGGAGTACACTAGCCCATGCTGCCATTTTGGCACAAATGGCTAAACATGATCATGTCTGCCCTCACAGGTACCCATTTACTCCTAGGTGAAGAGAGGCATATAGGGGTAAAGTGACTTGCCAAAGGTCACAACATGCTGCCACCAGCTGGATTCGAACCCCCGACCCTATGGTCAGAAGCTACAAATCATAACCACTGGCAGGGTTCTCCCCACGTACAAACTTGCGTATTGGCCCAATACACGAAATTCTTTTCACGATAATTGCCGATACGCAAAAAAACTGCCCAATACCGGATACCTATTTTTTCACTTCCAATACGCACATTATTAGGCCTACAGTTGCACGGCCTATAGTAGGTATTAAAATGGACTACTGCGCACATGTTGATGCGCATGGGTCTTTTTTAGTATAAAAACGTAGTTCCAAGTCTCCCCATCAAAATAATGCACGTAAAATATTTCTATTCCCGGGGATGTTAGTATTTCCATCAATTTTTGCATGAATTGATAGTGTTCGAGTTGCATAAGCCATGCCTTAATGACTCATTGACTTCCGCGCATCAGTTCCAAGCAAGAAAACGTGAAGTTTTCTTGGGGTTTTATGTGTGAAAAGTGAGCATTTCTTCAAGTGGCATTTTGAAGGCTTTCCATGACATTTATAAGAAACTAGGTACCACTTTGGAAAAAAAATGGATCAGAAATGCCTTAGAGAGAACAAGGTTTAGGTCATGAGCTGTGCCTCAAACTCCACACCATGGCTTCACAATGTCAGTGAACAAGGAAGAAATCCCCCCCCCACACATTTGAAAAATCCTGGGGATAACCCTGAATAGGCCACATGCCCCCTTTAGTATGGAGAATTAAAACTGTTATGTTCACATGAATTTAAAGAACTCAGTTTACCAGATTTTTATTTTAAATGTTTATTAAGTAATAATCAACATGGACCAGTAAAGCGATGAAATATAATGTACAGTACACTACACAGAGTTCCAGCTAAAAACCCGTATATATTGATGGCAAATTCCTGTGCTAAGGCAACTGAAGAAAAATTAAGCACAGACATCAAAACCACCAGCTGGTCTGTTTCTTTGAAAGCATGATGATTCATTCACATACCAGAGCTATTTACTGCTTCAAATTAATACTTCATGCTTTCATATATGGGTGGGGAGAAACGACCAACAAACTTATTTACAGTTGGCATCAAACTATGTCAGGAGGAAATTTTGGTCTGGCACCACTCTGCCAAACTTTGCATCACGAGTCTTCTACAGATAAGGTCTTGGCCAAGCACTGATGCCCGTAGGAGTCAAAGAATTGGGAACAGTACAATTGGTTGGTGATTACAAAGAAAATGTCATCAATAAAGTGCAAATCTGCACAAGTGAACTCACGGCTGCGATCCTTGTTCCAAGCGTGGCAAGTGATTGGACCCAACTCAAAGTTGAACTTCTCGTTGTTTGACATTTTGCAGCTTGCTCAGTTGCTGACCAACTATTTTAACAGAAAAAAGAATCTGGAAATGCCTTTCTTGAGTACTTAGAATTGAATTGGAGAGCCCATCCCCCCAACTTGACAATCACCCAGCTAGTCTGGTAGAAAGTAATGACATTTCTTGACAACAATAAATTCGTAAATTTCAATTTAAAATCTTGATGCTATTCTTTTAAAATGAACGGATTAGTAATTAATTAGTAGCTCTGAAGAGAGAATTTGGTCAAAAACTTTAAAAAGCACCATTCTCCGGTCATTTGACTTCAGACTGAACCTGACGACACATCAATTCATTGCTCATGCAGAGCATGAGTTGGTCAGTACAAAAGTTGGTCATGTTGGTTGGTTTGGCGTACGAGCTGATTAAACTGTGTACGAGTCGGTCGGGGACAAGTTGACCTGTTCCCTTTCCAACATATCCAACAAAAATACAAGTAAAACTGAAAAATTCTGACAAAAAACCACCCCCAAAAATTATCATGAAAACAAATTTAAAAAGTATCTTTCATTTTAAAATGTAAAAGTAAATTTTAAATGTTTTAGCATCGTTTTATCATCATTTTGTAAGCTTGAACATGATACATGTCTGTGAAATCTTACAAAAGTGCAAAAGTGCCGGAAGGAAACCCTACCTACATGACCTTGCGTGCCTAGGCTACACTAAAACTTTACAAGGGTGTGGCAGACAAACGAGGATGAAGCGCGTCGCCAATTAACACAGAGGTTATGGAGGTAGGCCTGCGCCAACGCGGCGCGTACGTGCAAATGTCTCCAACTAGACCAACATGTCTCACTTCCTGGTCTGCCAGACTAAATTAATAATTAATTTAAATCAACATTAGAAGCTGTGTGAGCGAGCAGTTTTAAAAAACAAATAGTGGTATCTTACCCGTTAGTTTCTCTGCGCAAAAATGAACGATTTTGTTGGATTTTAACAAAGAAATTCGCGGACTCTGGTCAGTCAACGCGAAACAGGCGACAACGTTTTTGCAATGAGAACTATGTGTGGTGCCACGACTTTACACGCTGTTTTCAACATTTAGTAATTGAAGGACGGAGAGCTGACTAGACGACATCAAAGTTCGCGTGGGGGCGTAAACTTCCTTTTTGTCTAATGTGCGAATACGATGGCTACTAATAAACCCTACTCTGCACAAACCGAACATTCCTCGAAGCGCTCACGTAGATCTGGGTAGCCTAGCCGTGTTGACAGAGGATAGGATCGAACAGACCGTGATTGGTTAGCCCATAGATCCCGATCCGTTTTCCACATAAGGGCACCCTTTTTCAATTTTATAGTTCTCATTTCCCCCGGACCCTATTTTCTGCTCCCGGGCTGGAAGAAAAAGCCTTTTTTCTTACCGACCCTGCTGCTAATAAACAAAGTAGGTTGTGATCAGCTGTACAAAAGTAGCGCTGAAAACCTATACATGTGCGATACGATTTCGCCCAACCATCAACCACAGAGTAAGGACCCATACCCTGTGAACCCATCAACTTGAACGCAGCAACCACGGTATGCTACGGACGACAAGACCGTTCCATCGCACGCAACTTTGACAAGTGGGCGCAAGCTAAAAATAACTGAATATTAACATGACAAGAATATAATCAATGCCCTGAAATATATGTACTTACTGAGCTTCTTCAGGGCAAGCAGATTCAGTTCACACTGAATCTAAATCTGCCTCTGAACTGAACCTGTTACCAAAAGCTCGGCAATTACATATTTCAGAGCACTGATATATTACATTCTTTTCAATATTTGATCACGGTGCTACGCAGCCCTTTCATATTTCTTTAGAGCTAAAAATAACTACTGCACACGTGGCTTATGTCTGGACGTGCTGTACATGCACACGCGCACGTACATGTACATTGTACATGTGAACATGTACACGTAGATATATGTTTACACCGCATGGGCCGGGGGCGCCGGCGCACCGGCGTAAGGGTCTCATTTATCCAGCGTGCTCGGATTTCCGGAAGAACGCGCCAGATAAAATTAAGAGCACGTTGCCGCAACGTGCTCATTTATCCGGCATGCTGATTTTTCAAGTTGCATACGTATTGTGCGGCGGTGTGTTTATGGAATTCCATATCTGCCGTCGTGCGTCGCCCGTCGTGCGTCGCCCGTCGTGCGTCGCCCGTCGTGCGTCGCCCGTCGTGCGTCGCCCGTCGCCCGTCGCGCGTCGCCCGTCGCGCGTCGCCCGTCGCGCGTCGCCCGTCGTGCGTCGCCCGTCGTGCATCGCCCGTCGTGCGTCGCCCGCGGTTTTTTTGTCACGATTGCGCAGTGGTATTTTAAACTTTGACCCTTGATCGTTTCACATGTCCTTGTCCATGTACATGTCCTTGTTCGATCGATCCACCATGCCTGACTCTCATTTTAGCCATAGAACTAGAAGATGTACATGTATTCGTTTTTGCAGTTGCGCCAAACTCCAATTGAAGAAAGAAATAATATCCTGACATCGATAAAGTAACGTTTATATGAAATAATACCATTTTGGTTACATAAATAAATTAACAAAATAGACTTTTGTAATAGGGTAGATTGTTTTTCTCGATAACTTAGTCACTCTAGATATAACTTTACTCGTTAACAGCCTGACTTTAGGTCTATAGCCTATGTAATATTTCTGTCTGTCCCTGCACGATATCCCACAGAACGGAATGTAAATAATAAATTATTTACATTGTTTGATTCCTTAATAGTTTTCATAAGAGACGAACTGATTCAACATTATTTTGAGGGCGGGTATACCTATGATGAAATCTGCTGTATATTCCAAATTAGACATGACTTTAGTTGCAGGTTGGCTCACGGAAGTCTTTTAAACAGTAACATTACTTGTTAGCCCCATAAATAATGCTGATGTGCTGGNGAAACTTAAACCAAGTGGTAATTGCCCCCTAACAATACATTTAATAAACAATTTGTTATCCACAGCACGTCTTGTATTTCTGGATTTCAACTGAAGGTGAAATTGAGAGGACAAGATGGAATATCTGTATCGGTTGGCAGATTTCGTCCTGGAATTTGATGAAAACAAGTCGGCACATTTTTACAGTATGCAAATTAGAATAACACTGTGAATAAGTTGGCTGGAACATTTTTGCTGAAAATGTTTTTCTCCAAAAAACACTTGGTTGAATTCTCAGGGAGGCGATTTTTCTTGTCAAGGGGCAGGGGTAGTCTAGCATTATTGGAATTAATTATGTGACTAGTATATGCTTTGCAGGTGGGATTTGTACTTGCCTCATTCGGAAAAGATCTTTAGACGTGAATGGAATCATCACATTGTCATTTGTTAAACCAGGTTGCAGGTCCTATGCAACCCATTTGATGGGCGACGGGCGACGCACGACGGAATTCGAAGATGGCATGTTTGGAAATGGTAAATGGCAGAATTGGGACACAACAAAAAGCGACGGACGACGGGCGACGGGCGACGGCAGATATAGAATTCCATAGTGTGTTTTACTTTGTGTATTTTTTTATAAAAGGTGATAAGGGCAGTGGTTTGCTAATAATGTTTTGAAACGTAAAATCTGTTGGAAAAAGTCTATTAAACAGTTCTCCTTACAGAGAGAAATGATTGCTCTTTTTTGTATCTTTCACGACATGCTGGGTTGAGGGAAGTACAGCACTGTGAACCTATCAACATACATTCAATTTAGCTCTAGATCTGGGAAGCAGTTTTTTTTAAATTATGTTAGTTCTTTTGTAGGTGTGATAGTACTTACATTAGAGCGAGGAAAGCGTTTTTTTTTTCTTTTTCATTTTTTGGCTCAGTCAGTAGAATGCAGTTTACAAATATCATGGAGTTGTGACCAAAGATCGTATAGCGCCGAAGGCGCAAGATGGATAACTCTGCCCAAAAGATGTAGTCACCATGGGCGCCATTTGAGCAAGCGATACGCCTGCGCGGTTCACGGTATATACCGGTAATGCACAGACGCAGGCGCACCACGTGTACGTGCCCACAGACATATAAACGCATAGACTGCAGGTCTTGCGCGTAAAACCGTTATTTTGAAAAGTATGGGCAAACAATGAAATAGAATTTAAATAGAATTGAAAATAGAATTTTATGGCTGGAATTCTTCAAGTGTGCGTAAATTCCCTATACAGAGGGGTGAATTTGCCCATAGTTTTGATTTAAGTCGGGCACGGCGCAAATCACGAAAATCCCCTGTATAGGGGCGATTCACAATAGTGCGACACCATGAGTTTGCAACGCGTTGGCCAATCACAGCGCGCGAAATTTGTTGACCCTTTCCGAACGCGCATTAGGTCGACAAAGTTCGCGCATTGTGATTGGTCAACGCATTGCAATCTCTTGGTGGCGCACTATTGTGAAACGCTCGTATTTTGAATAGGACCTGGCGGTATATGCATTTTATATGTCTGTGTACGTGCCTGCCACGGCGCCTGCGCCTAGTACATCAATGTGCATTGCGCAGGCGTATCGCTTACTAAAATGGCGCCCATGCAATTAAAACGTTTTACGTGTATTCACGGTTAAGTTCTCCGTCTTACGCCGCTATACGCGGCGCTAAGATCTTTGGTTGTGACTGTGTGGTGTTACAAGCATAATTTTTCAAATTTTACATGCATACTTGTGGATCCAATACATTCTACTAAATTACTTTGAAGGACAAATGTTTGGTCTGCGTATATTGTCAGGAATTTTCAGACAATATTAATATCTGTCAATGATTTCAGACTTTTATATAAATTTATAATACAACTCCAGAGATGGTTATTTTGTCGGTATGTCATGAGCCAAAGAAATGACCGTGGACGCATACAGACGACTTGTCTCCCCCACCCAACAGAAAAAAAAGAAGACAAATTGCCTACCTGGTTTCCCAAATGACTTCAAAACTACTACTCCACAAGCTCATGACATTTTTATTTCTTTCAATAAAAATAAGACTTGCAGATAACCCGAAAGGGTAGGCTTGCGGCCTACATCTGATAAGACTGGTTCATACAAATAAGTATATGTACTTCGGCTCGGAAACGAACAAAAAATGTGAAACTGTGACGTCAGATCAATGTCGGGCTGCAAATTCACGAAAGTTGAACACATTTCGAACGGGGATAGTTTCGCTTCAACTTTTTGTGACGCATGAATCAGCCTTTAGACGCATGAAAGTAATAGCTTTATTTTATATTTTGCATTAATGAAGAATTTTGTGGAGTTGGTTCAAACTTCGTACATGAAACGATGTTGTTATTGCGGCCCCTTCCATTATGATTATTGTTGATTGCAAAGTATGATGTCAATGTTGAAGTACAAATGGCATTTGTTGAAAGCATTTTGTTATCAGAATTGTAAACGTTGAAAAAACCTCAAGGATTTTTACTTTACCCCAACATTGTACAAGTACATTCCTATACATAAATACACAACTTGTGCATGTACATGTACATATTTCCACATTACGCCAATGAAACACCCCCATGCACACGAACTTGATATCGTCTAGTCCGATCCCCGTCCTTCAATTGCAGCATGTTGAAAATAGCGTGTAAAGTCAAGACACCATACATAGTCCGGCGGCTGCATTTTGGTTGACCGGAGATTGATTGGTGCCGGGGATAGGTAGGTAGAAACGTTATATGTGGGTTATCTTCCAAGTTCCAAAATGCAGAAAGTTTCCACTCTGGTCTCGGTTGGTTGGGTTGCCAAGCAAATCAACTCCAAAGCCAAGAACTTCTGCATCCTTGATGCATCATGGCATCTGCCTATGGTCAAACGAGATCCCCTGAAGGAGTACCGTGAGGCCCACATCCCAAGTGCCCTGTTCTTCGACATTGAAAAGTGTTCCGCATATGGAGGTGCCGGTAATCTGTCCCTCACCCTTCCCAGTCCCGACGAGTTTGCGAAATACGTTGGTACGCTGGGCATTGACAACGACACTCACGTGGTCGTGTATGAGAACAACGCCAAGTTTGGGGTCTTCTCAGCTCCGAGGGCCTGGTGGATGTTCCGCATGTTTGGACACAACATCGTCTCAGTTATGGAAGGTGGTCTTCCTCTCTGGACCAAAGAAGGTCATGAAACGACAGATGTCATCCCTGAGGTTGACCGGGTCCAGTTCAGAGCTTCTTACATGCAGAACCTACTCAAGAGCTTCTCAGATATAGAGGCAAATTTGGAGGCGGAGACATTCAAAGTGATGGATGCCAGAGCCAAGGGGCGGTTCACTGGAGACATGCCAGAACCTCGGGAAGGTATCACTTAATTTCAGATCTAGAATATCACCAAGGCTTTGGATTCCACTTTGCAGGCCTTACTTTGTTTCATTGAAATATTTTAGTTGCTGAACAAAATTGCGTCATGAAAGGAAAAAAATAAAGTCTGACTTGTTTATGTTAGTTAAACAAAAATAGAGGGAATTGATGCTTGTATATGGCGAACTTGAGGAACTCTCTAGTCCCTCAGGATCCTCAGAAGTGCAAGCGACTCATACTTGGAGTAAATCTTGCATGTATCATATATGGCATAAATCAGCTTTATTCGATCTGAAATATACCAAAGTTGTGAACATTTCTAATCTCTGTGAAGTTTACACAGAATACCCAAATCACAAACAGGATTTAAACATGATAAAACAGCAGATAAATTGGCAAAAGTCATGTACATGTAATAATGTGTAAACATAAGTCTTTCTCAGTATGGCTTGTCACATACATGATGGTCTGCATTTAATAGTTCTTAATTTAACAAATTGACTGACAAAACCAGGCTTAAAACTTGGAAATCCAAGACTTAAGTAAAACAATTTAGTTTAATAAATGCAAACACTTACTAAGAACTTTAAGCTGTGGAATAAGCCTAATATATGACTCTGCTTCATCAAACTACATGCTTGCAATAACAAATCCATGCTAAATCTAGCGTTAAACACTATGCTCCATTTCATGGTTAAAATTCTCAATAAACCTTTTGTGTTAATGTTAAAATAAAACTCACTTCTTTGGTAAAACTCCTCTTTTAAAGCAATTCAGTAGCTCGGGTCAGATGCATCTGTCTGTTTCGGTTACAAATTAATCAAATTTTGGTCTCAGAATTTCTTCACAGAAAAACATAAACGAAAATAGCTGACAAAACGTGTGGTAGTTTTTCTAAGAAACTTATCGAGGGCTCTCTTTAATGTTTTGGTCTTCACCACTGGACCATCTAATGTTCACGGGGTTGTGAAGGTCACAAATTATGTGATGCTATGAGCACAAGTGAAATGATTTTCTTCAGTTTTATTAAAATGAATGACATTTTGATTCCTTTGTGCCTGCAGGTATTGAGTCGGGCCACATACCCAACTCCATCTCTCTGCCCTTCCAGGCCATGCTTCAGGAGGAAGACGGGATCAAGAAGTTCAAACTGCCGGACGCACTCAGGGAGGCCTTTGCCGATGCCGGCCTGGACCTTGGCCAGCCCATCACGGCATCTTGCGGCTCAGGCATCTCTGCCTGCATCCTGGCCATGGGGGCCTACCTGGCCGGTACTGAAGATGTAGCCGTGTTTGACGGGTCCTGGGAGGAATTCTACCTCAAAATGAAGGACACAAAACCAGAGAACATCTTGAAAGGATAAAAAAAATGATGGCCTTTCCATCTTTGGAGATCGAACACGTTGACTACCGACTTGTAGTAATGAATGACAGTGTCCCGGAATTGGCCACTGTGAGTATGCATGTACTCACGGTCAACAAAAAGATTTTGAATTGTGTATTAAGAATGTACTGGAAATGCAGTAAGCCTCAGAAATAAGCCCCTTTAAAGAGATTGGAGAACAGTATTTTTGTCCAGCCCTAGAACTGTGAGGGGTTTGTCGTCTACTTTGCCTCCGACAACCAAGTGGATGATAAACCTCACAGTTCTAGGGATAATTTTTGTTATGGTTTGTTCAATTTTCTTGCATTATTCTTTTCAGTGTTAAAATATCATTGAAAGTATGCCAAGATGGAAGTGTAATATCGCCGATGTATGTGCCTTTATCAAAGATGACAAAATTAATACACGGAGTTATTATTGAAAAGTTTGTACATTGTACTCCTGCAAACTGTGCAAAGGAATTATTTATCTGAAGAAACAGCCAGCTCCATGCCACTGCCAGCTACAAGTTATCATGCAGGTGTCATTTTTGTCATAAAAAAAACTCTCCACAACAAACCTATCACAAGTTCACATCTGTTGTTACGCAACTCCATGCTTCGTTTGGCAAGGTCTTCTCGTATATGTATTGTTGGTGGGCAGTCAATATGTGCTGTCTGTCAGAACCTCGTTACATGTAGATACCCAAAGGTGGAGTGTTTCTAGTCAAGTTAGGGAGAGGATGCTTATGGAGTATTCCGACGAAATATATTGACGAAAAATTGTGTTGAGGTGTTATATACAAGTTCCTATTTTTTTTATGACATTGGGTACGGAAACAAGTTTGACCAAAGCCATACGGGGGAATGTAATAGGGTATATCTTTCTTGCCTAACTTGTGCAGTGATCTCTGAACTGTATGCCAGTTCTAGACCTGATACAAACTCAGAAACAGTATCTGGTGGATATAGAGTTCATACTTGTGTTTATTTTATCCACTGAAGATCACCTGTACAAATTGTTTTATTAGGAAACTAATATGTAAGACAGCGGGGTCATAAACATCTGTCTCTCATATTTTACTGAAGTAAAACTTCTGTGGAGAAGGCCCCTTTATCAAACTAATCAAGAACATGTACATTTAAAAAGCAGTGTATGTGTTGTAACGGCTTGAATATAAACCAACTTCGTGAATTTGTTGTTTTTTTTCTTTTTCTGTGTTAAACCATGGAGGAATAGGAGCCATGGTTACAATTCCACAAAGTTTATTTTTAAAAAAATAGTAAAACTAGTTATATGTATGTGTTCTTCTCGTACATTATAGAGGTTTTATTCTAGTTTTTGGAGTGTAAAAACATCAAGAGAAACTCTATTAAAAATGTGTTCAGCAGAAGGAATGATTGTTTTGTTTTTTTATTTTTTCAGTACATGTAAGGATGAATCATACTTTAATAAAATTAAGCTTTTATCTGGGAAGCTGATTTTTGTGTACATGTTTTATGATGAGTAGTCTTTCATTATTTTGCTGGTCTGGGACACTGGGGGGTATTTTAGCTGGTTGAATTCATGGGCGTTGCATCGCGGTTGCTTGCCCCCTAGAAAAAATCGAAAAATAAAGAAAAGAGGAAAAAAATGGAAATCAAAAGGATATGAAAGGTACTAAAGCCATCAATTTGTTTGGAGAAAAACCTCAAAATCGACTCCCCTTTATCGGTTCGAAGCACATAAGTGATTTTTATTATACACATGTAATAGCTCCATGGGAGCAAATAAGTGGAAAAACATGGCGACGCTAAAACAGCGCGGAGTGGTAAGGGGCCGTCCATAAGTTTCATTATTTTCACGAGCGTACAAAAAAGTAGCGGACAAAAAATGGAAAACAAACAGGAGTTTGTGATACGTGGGGGGGGATATGTCAGGGAAGGTTTAAGGTCAAGGTGAGAGAATTGTCATGTAATAAATCAAGCGTGAGTTTTTCCCCCGGGAAAGAGTGACTTTGAACTAAGCAGCAGTATGGCTGTATTGAAATCTGCCTAAGATGCTCAAGACACTTCACGAAAATTTGTGTTGAGGTGTTATATACAAGTTCCTACTTTTTTCACGGCATTGCGTACGAAAACAAGTTTAACCAAAGCCATAAGGGGACTGTAGGAGGGGATATCTTTCTTGCCCGACTTGTGCAGTGAACTCTGTACTGTATGCCAGTTCTAGACCTGATACGAACTCAGAAACAGTATCTGGTTTTTTAAGAGTTCAAATTTATTTTTATTTTATCCACTGAAGATCACCTGTACAAATTGTTTTGTTAGGAAACTTACAGACGGTGGGGTCATGTTGTTACTGGGTACATGATAAGACAGAACGCAGGTCTATCTCTTTTTTGAACATTTGGTGGCTCTTAGAAGAGCCGGTTTGTTTGAAGTCGACGCAAACACTGCTTATTTGGAGGTGGTGTACTTGGTGACAGCCTTCGTGCCTTCACTGACGGCGTGCTTGGCCAGCTCACCGGGCAGGAGGAGACGGACAGCGGTCTGGACCTCACGGCTGGTGATGGTGGACTTCTTGTTGTAGTGGGCCAGACGTGAAGCTTCGGCAGCGATGCGCTCGAAGATGTCGTTCACGAAGCTGTTCATGATACTCATGGCACGGCTTGAGATGCCGGTGTCAGGATGCACCTGCTTCATCACCTTGTAGATGTAGATGCCATAGCTCTCCTTTCTCTTGCGCTTCTTCTTCTTGTCCGTGCGGGGAGCGCCCTTGGCCTTGCCCGCTTTCTTCTGTCCCTTTCCGCTTGGCTTGGGTGGCATAGTGACGTCTCAGAATAACTGATAAACCTAACGCCAACAGCAATTCTGACGTTTATATACCCTACCCTATGCAAATGAGGAATTCTGTTCGGGATCCTGCTGCAGACCCGCCAATATTACGCGGTTCGCTATTGGTCAATGACCGTACTGTTTGCACACGGCACAAAAATGTCTAGACAGGGACCGCTTCGATTGGTTGATAATGGTGACTGCTCATTGGACAAACGCAGAATCCGCCACAGGATCCTGCTCAGAATCCACCGCACGCCTATAAATACGCAAGATGCATAATATGAGTCATTATTTCATGAATATACTTCAGTAGTATCTGTAACAAGCAAATCTATTGAAAATGTCGGGACGCGGAAAAGGAGGAAAGTCGCGTGCTAAGGCCAAGAGCCGATCTGCTAGAGCTGGTCTGCAGTTCCCCGTGGGCCGTGTTCACCGCTTCCTGCGCAAGGGCAACTATGCTGAGCGTGTGGGTGCCGGTGCCCCCGTCTACTTAGCAGCTGTTATGGAGTACCTGGCTGCCGAGATCCTTGAGCTGGCCGGTAACGCCGCCCGTGACAACAAGAAGACAAGAATCAACCCCCGTCACTTGCAACTGGCCATCCGCAACGACGAAGAGCTGAACAAGCTTCTCAGCGGTGTCACCATTGCCCAGGGCGGTGTACTGCCCAACATCCAGGCCGTTCTGCTGCCCAAGAAGACCTCGTCCAAGGCCACCAAATAAGCGGTGCATCTTCAGCTTCAACCAACCGGCTCTTTTCAGAGCCACCACAACTTCAAAAAGAGATAATTTCCTTGTCTGTTTCGCTAAAGACTTCCAAGTCGTGGTGTGAAATAAACATCTTGCATGTATGATTGTCGCAGTACGGTTAGGCCCAATTCCAAATAACGAATGTTATCGCTCCTGAGGAGAGCGTTATGTAACTTACGAGGTAGGCTAGCTTGTTTTTAGAAATTTAGATCTGTTAAGGCAAGTGGTCTACATTTGGTGAAGTGTCTATGATGGCAGTGAGTATCGAATCATTACACCCGCTAACCTTAAAAGAACCTTTGCAACGTTAACGCGTTGCATCCCCTCCTAAAGCTGTTGATCTTGGGTTTAAAATCCACTTGACATTTTCCATGGTGTCTTACCACTTCCAAAATCAAAGCTGAGTTTAGTTTTCACTCTGAGGGCCGGCAGCAAGCAAGGGGCCAATTTCTGTTTTTTTGGGGGGGGTTCCAACTCAACGGGGGGAAGACTTTAGAGCTTTGAAGATTTGTTCATTCTGAAGTTAAGAGCCAACAAAGTATCTCCTCGTAAGATCATAAGTGACAAAGAAAATAACCCCCCCCCCGCAAGATAAATGCTGGAAAGGAAAATTCCACGGCCCAATATTCTTTGTACAGGTATAAGTATTCAAATTTGAAAGACCAAAAGGTTTCTTAATGGAAATAGGGAAATGCGTTAATGTACAAATACAAAACAGATATGTGATAACATGATTGCCTCCTAGCGAATTATAATAGAAAAAGAAAGTCACAGATATATCGATGATGCGGATCACCAATTTGAATGAATCGGGCGTTTTGAACAATGAAGCACTGAATGACCTAACACGAAATACATTTTAAATACACCAAAACAAAAAACGAACGTTTGCAATCAAATTTGTTGGTTGTCTCAAAACTGAATCCAGTAGCCACGCAAATGCGGAAAAGGAAACCCGCGTTTGACAGGTGATGTAAAATCAACGCGAAATTGAATGAGTGAAAACTTCGTGCCTCAAGCTTGCCAAGTGACCTTGCAATACAATCTGCAATATAACAGTGTACACCGAGGTACTTTCACAGACTTTCCGATAGAAGCACATGTATGTACATGTACACGTGATCTGTACATTATGATGTACATTATAAATACATTATATTTTAAATATATTAAATTGCAAGGTAAATTAACAAGAAACACATTGTTCTTAGTACATGTAGTATTAATTGTACATGTAAAGTACACAGCGCATGTGATCACAGTAGGTCTATATGAATGAAGAGGACCTCTATCTTCTATCGCATTTTATTTTTTTGTTTACTACTTCAACAATTTTAGAAAGACAGTTGAAAAACAATCAGTTCCATTCTGCACATGTATGTACCGTACAGCGCCATGAAGAAGCCAGGGGGACCACAGACTTTCAATTGCGCCCTCTACGAACACACTGTACACGTACGCATGTAAAGACCCCAAATTTGCTTGAAAAACTGGCGCCGATTTCATAGAGCTGCTTAAGCACAGAATTTACTTAAACACGAAAAACCTTGCTTAATAAACAAAAGTTACCAGCTCAAACTCTATGTGATTGTCATGATAACTAAAAAAGACAGGTTAGATATCATTTCAAAACAGTATACATCACAAGAAGTTTTGGCTGGTAACCTGGTGCTCACTGCTCAATAATACGTGCTCCTAGTACAGTGTAGAAATCAAATAATGTATCAGTATCGTTTTATTACACATTATGTAAATGAACTCTTTAGTCTTTGAAGTGGATTCAGCGCCTGCTGTGACATGTATAGTACTGAAAAAAAATTGTGAACGTGCGCATATGAATGCAATACATGTCCACATTTTGTATTTTTGTATTGTATAATGTACTTTGTTGAAAAATGATGATTTTGTCTACAGAATAGGAGGTACTCAAATGGGAAATCAAATGCAAGGAGACATCTGCAACATCTGATCATTACCAGGAGCACAGGGCAATCGAAAACTAAAGCGAAAGTTTTTTTTTAAGTTAGTGCTTGGATCCCGATCCTTTGACCTTCCAGATTCAGAACCGGAAAAAATATACATGTATATTTTGTAAATTTGAGAAGTCTCAGATCCGCCGAGAAATTTTTTACCGATGCGTGTACTGTATACATGTACATGCATACAGTCGAACCTCGTTCATAAGGAAAACAATGTTAATGGAAGACAGACTTGAGACCTGAATTTTTTCTTGTAATAACAGGGATCTTATCAAGTCTTATTATATAGTCGAACCTCAAGAAGAGTACTGTTAATACAAGAGTTCTTTTCAGACATCTTTCTAGGGGTGTGTGTTATAGCATGGTTATAGGTAACAAAAGTCTAATACATGTAGCGTGTAGAGCGATTGGACATGTGGGGAGGGGGTTACCCCCGTCTCATTTCTTGTATAGATATACCTGATAATACAAGGTTCCTGTCATAACAGAGTAATTTGCCAAGTCCGAAGGACCTCTTATAAACGTGGTTTGATTGTATTAGTTTTAAAAAAATGTTCGACAGACCAATTGATTCGATTTTTCAGGAGCGAGTGGCCACTTAAACCAGATAGCAAAAGGTTGGAATGTAAAAGGTACCCATACTTTATTTAGTACAGACCAGGTGTACAAAAGAGCTGAAATTCAGGGTCAACATCTAACGAAAAACCTAAAATCAGTTAAAAAGCCGAATTCTCGCACCCCTGCAAATCATCGGCTGCTAGCGCTACAGTACGGGATACCGCTTTTGGAAACACCTTGGTAGGCCTGTTATTGTATACATGTATTATATCCATGTAATTCGTTTATTTTGGGCGCAATTTCAGCTGGAGTTGGTAGAAAGTCAGGGACTATGTTAGACGCATGTTAAAGATGGACTTTTGCCATTTACGCGAGGAAAAGTCGTACATGTACGTCCCTATAATCACTGATAAAATTAAAGACTGATAGAATCTGCTCTTTCAAGATTTGTGGCTCTGAAAAGAGCCGGTTGTTGGAGGGGATAAGTCCCGATTTAAGCTCGCTCTCCACGGATGCGACGGGCAAGCTGGATGTCCTTCGGCATGATGGTCACACGCTTTGCGTGGATGGCGCACAGGTTGGTGTCCTCGAACAGGCCAACCAGGTAGGCTTCGCTGGCCTCTTGCAGGGCCATGACGGCAGAGCTCTGGAAGCGCAGCTCAGTCTTGAAATCCTGGGCGATCTCACGGACCAGACGCTGGAAGGGAAGCTTGCGGATCAGCAGCTCGGTGCTCTTCTGGTAGCGACGGATCTCACGGAGAGCCACGGTTCCGGGCCTGTAACGATGAGGCTTCTTGACACCGCCAGTGGCTGGGGCGCTCTTGCGGGCTGCCTTGGTGGCCAGCTGCTTGCGTGGTGCCTTTCCACCAGTAGATTTGCGAGCGGTTTGCTTGGTACGTGCCATCTTTGACTAGTCGGCTGCTAAATTCAGTTGAATGATATGCAGTTTGAAGAAACCGCTCTGTATTTATACCCTTTGCATGGGTTACCTGATTGGCTGGTTATTCTTTATTGCTATTGGTCACAATTTGACCAATCATGAACGTGACTACAAGGCCGGATCGCAGTCAGGATCCTTACCAAACGTTTTCGGTGAAAGAAGAACTATTTTTCCGAAGAATTACCATTCATCTAGTCCTGATGTAATGAATTAAAAATATTAACAAGGAAATGTCCATAGATACGATGTGTACTGGCACTTTACCGGCTCGTAAGAATGCACAGCTGGACAAATATAATGGAAACGTGTGGCCACTTTGTGCATGCATGTTGCAAATGAGGATTTGGAAATGAATATTCATATTTGCACACGGCACCAGCCTCTCTAAGGTTTCATTGGCCAACCACACAATAACGCAATAGATCAGCCACTTGGCTTTTTCTAGCTCTAACATACATTGTACATAAAGCATGCATGCGTACATGTACAGTACAATGTACATATACATGTACATATCATGTACATGTGCTTTAACAGCACGCGATAATAGTACATGTACAGTACTGTACGTACATGTACTTTATGGATTATTCAGGGTGTATCCAAAAACACAATCCAAATAAAATACATGTAATGGATTGGTGCGTTGAAGTTAGGAAGCGGAATACTTTATATATGGATAGACAGGGCAGTTTTAAAGCTTTCTATTGATGCATTACTTGCAATATTTTTCCTGCAATCATAGTTGAGTGAGCTTTCCGCATTCTAGCATTGGGTAACAAATAAATATAATAATTTTTGAAACAATTATTTATTCACTAAAAGAGGATGATTTACCTTTCCCTTTAGTAAAACCATCGACATGTCCACTTTACCTCACAGGGTCGGTGCATTTCCAAGCAACTGCTGGTACTGGTATGCTGCGCAACTTTGTTCAGAATCCCGGCCCGTTACTAAAAAAACCCCATGTAATCGTAGATCACATGTACAGTCAAGGTAGCCGGCCCAACATGATTGAGGGCAAATCACCGTCTTTGAAGAGTTTCCTCGGTCGACCCTGGCCAGTGATAAAACGGTGAGCTGAGGCACCGTCCCCTACCCACCATAAATGTCTGAAGACATTAGGTTAGGCTCATCAAAGATCACGTGCAGGTGCCTACAGCCATGGAGCTGGTTTATAGCTCCATGCTACAACTGATGGTTGGATGTGCTTTTGACCATGGTTATACCTGTACATGTAGGCCTAGATCCACTCTAGAAGTTACGTAGTTTTGAAAAGCAATGGTGATTGCAAGCTGGCTACCCTGGAACGCTTTCACGAAACGTAACGACATATGAAGCAAGATGAGAGCACCCCCCACACCCCTGTTGGTCATTGTTTGATTGGACTGTCAGGAATTCTTTACAGACATTTTTTTGGGGGGGGTATGTTAGGTAACATGCTCTAAGGCGTGTATAGGGATTTGACATGTAGGGGGTACCCCTCCGTCCCATATCTTGCTGGGTATACGTAATGAATTCGATCATGGTTCCTCCTCCCGTTTCCAAATTATAAATTTGCTGTTGACAAATAATTAAGTCAAAAGAAAAAAAATCTGCTTCCGGATTCCCTACCGGCCCTTTTTACAGCGTGACTCTAAAATACTTATTGGCAGGTTTAAAAGATTAAGAAAATTTAATAGAAAAGTAAACAATCCTGTTGTCTGTTCTGTCTCCGTCCTATTTATCCACATGTCAACCTTTCGTACGTCAAATACCTTCGCCTTCTCTACAACAATTCGCTATTATTGGAGAAGAAACTTTGTCGTTTTCGCAAGTTCCTCTCGCGATTCGCTATCGCGATAAACAGTGTTCGTAATAATACTCAGTGGAAGGAATAGTAAATCGAAGAAGCCATGATTGAAATGCGGAAATTTGCTTCCAGTATCCATCCTGCCCAAATACCGTTACACTTACGCAACACGTCGAAAAACATCGATGGGGATTTTTTTTTAGTAGATTTCGGCAAATTACCTTACAGAACTTGATTCGTTTTGACTGTGTATGTATTTTCCGTGTTCATGAATGAATTTATTTTGAGGTTTTAGGCCTTACCCGCAAGAACTCTTGTGGCGAGCTTGTTTCCATAAAATGACCTGCCGCAACCTGAGGTTCATCGCTGGCCGGGCCCGCCCACGCGATATACTGCACACAAACATGTACGGTCACTGTTGGCCGTTGGTCTGCTTTGTAAAAATTGATGGAGGCATGTTTTTGTCACCTTTATTGAGTTTTGCAATCGGTAGTCAAATAGAGGAATTAATGACATTTGTAGAAGAAATGTAGAATAGTTTTTTCTTAAGTGTTTCGACCTGACCAGTAACACGTAATCTTTCAACTTCAAGGAGTACCACCGTTGAAGAACTCCGCCCTACTTTGTGCCTAGTTTTCGAAGAAACCTTTGCAACGCCGCACTACGATCTCGTTTTCACTAAGACAAACCTAGGCCTCATGAAGATGATCTAGGAACGATATTGCTGGAAATACAGTTCACTTTTTTTCAACGTGCAGCAGGCGACTTGTTCAATTGAAGACAAAATTCGTACATAAAGGTATCTCAGCTGGTTTCTGGCAAGGTGATAGGACGGCCCTAAACAAACCCATAAGTTTGAAATCATTAAGTGCACCAATACCAAGTAACTAACTGGCTTGTAAATTGTAAATAATTTCTTTAATCTATTTACTCATTCAGCCAGACAGAATTCTCTCTTTTGTATATTTGTGTGGCTCTGAAAAGAGCCGGTTGGTTTTGAGATGGGTCGTGTCCGCTTATCCGCCGAATCCGTAGAGAGTGCGGCCTTGGCGTTTCAAGGCGTAGACCACGTCCATGGCGGTGACGGTCTTTCTCTTGGCGTGTTCGCAATAGGTCACTGCGTCACGGATGACATTCTCCAAGAAAACCTTGAGAACACCACGGGTCTCCTCGTAGATCAGACCAGAGATACGCTTGACACCACCACGGCGAGCAAGACGGCGGATGGCCGGCTTGGTGATTCCCTGGATGTTGTCACGCAAGACCTTGCGGTGACGCTTGGCACCTCCCTTGCCGAGTCCCTTGCCTCCCTTTCCTCTTCCAGACATGTTGAACGCTACTACTCCGAGTTGTACAAATGAATCGGAAAATGACGATTGAAGAGCCCTACTTCTATTAATCTCAGTATTGCGGACGTAGTTGAGGTTATTGGCAAGTGGGCGTATCAAACGTTTAAGCTTAACAAGATCTGCCGGGCATTACAGCCAATCACGTTGGAGGTACGTACACCGTGCATGCAAAGAACGCAACTGGTGCACGCTTAGATGTACATGTATGTACAGGTACTATACATTGTACATGTTATGCTGCTGTGCGTGCTCTAAAAAAGCGCTGTTTAAAAATAGGATTCAGGTGTGGTTGGTTTCCGGCCCCGAGTTAAGTTGAATCGAACAGTTTCTACACTGAAGCATCCAATAATCCTGATTGGTGAAAATGACACACAAAAAAACTCAACGGAGATTAATAGTCATTTAAAAAAACTAAATCAAACTGACAAAACGAACAGCCGACTTTTGAAAATATGCTCATTTTTATTGACTTTTAAAAAGATTTTACAGCCCTTGCTTTACAGTGTTTGAACAATTCCAGTTGCCACTATGATTATGGATTCTAACTCATTTCATGACGAGTTTTCGTGCTTTATATTCTGTTTTAGTGTTAATGAATTTGCAGTGATTTCCAACGCATTACAGAATATTTAAATAATTTCAAATTATTGACATATTGGAACTGGCATGTACATATAACATATAATATAGCTTTATAAAGTCACACATCAAACAGAAATTGTAATTAAATATCAACATTTATATATATTCATCTGTTTAAACAAAATATGTTACCGTATGCTTCAGGATCTTTCAACAATGTAACACATTACACAACACATAATTAAGGCTTCAATCAACATCCATTTATGTTTGCTCAGTGGAAGTCAGTAGTCGGATAAGAACAAATGAATCATGCAAGAGAAAGTTCGGATGCAAGAGAAAGTTTGGGCTAACAGCTGACAATAGCATACATTTACTGAGGAGGGGACTTGGATCGTTTTGATTATTTCCTAATTAGCTGAACCATCACTAAACAATGATCCACAATTTCTGCTTCTTAATAAATGACAGCGTTCTGGGTGTATCGATTTCATGGCTTACCAAAGCTGTGCTGAACATGCTTGCAAGTTCAATATTTCAGTTATTTGGCAGTCCTATTATAGTGTTTTTGAACTTGAAGAGCCTCGACTCCTTTAAAGGCTCTTCAGACTTCTGTTGACTGTGGTGGACTGCTGACAGGATCCATTTTCTACAGAAGACAGCCTTCAGTCTCGAAACTGTCCTCTGCCTTCTGATCAGGCATGTGTAATTGGCACACAAGCACAGAGGTTTCGAAATTCAAGGCTGTGTTACCAATGTACTGTGGTAAATGCATGATGGCGGATCATTGGCCAAAGAAGCTGGGTGGCCACTGGTAGTCTCCAGTCATTCACATTATTTACAGCAGAGTCAGCACACAAATCTCTGCCCTCCTCCCCATGTACAAGTGAATGTGCATCGTTCTCCTCAAGAACACAGCTCATGTTTGTTTGCTGATGCCATCTGTGCATTCTCTATAAAATACATCACACTAATGACTCGGATTGACTCTGTAAAGTTACCCAGAACATTCTTCCGGGGTTTTCCTCCAGAACTGTAACTGCTTGTCAATGTCCCCTCTCTACAGGTTTCTTCAGGCCTGCGAGCTACAGTGCCAAGGGGGGCATTTTAGGAATCCTTGGTGTCATTGCCGGCAATGCTTAATAATACTATTAATAAACACAGTCTTATAATGCCAATATTTGGAGAATGTTTGTGTCTACCACACTGAAGTCGATCTATCTATCCAGCAGTTGAAATATGTTTAGATGGAAGCAGAAACTTCTCAATCCTGATTCACAAGTAAGACGGTTTATTTTCAAACACATCCAAATTTTCAAACTATACAGAAGAATTCAGAAGAAGAATATTCAGAAGAATTTAAGAAAACTTCTATATTACAATGGGGAAGATAAAAACATTTATGTTTAATTTTATATATATAGTCTGAAATAAACTTTTACAAAATTTCACCAACAGTTCTTCTTTACGGCATAAGTATACATGCAATACAGGGGAAAAACAACAAAGGAAACCACTGGAAGATGCAAACAAATCTAAATACAATGTGTGTTAAAATCACCAACTTTAAACGCAGAATGGGCTCATCTAAATTTCCGATGATACTACAACTAAGTCCTGCATGCATACTCTATCCAATCACAACAGATCTCTATATGTGTACCGCTGATCCCACACTTTGTCTCCTATGGTGGACAGTGGCCCCTCACTGGCTGCATTGCACACATGCAAACAAAGTGCAACAAAGTCAGTACACTGACTCGGTGTTTGGTTCCTACACAAGAACTGAATGACTGCAGCATCTGTGAGCAACTTGGGTTTTGCACGAAAAGAATTCTATTGAACACTGTGAAGCAGGTCCTCCCTTCTTCCAGACTTCAGAACTGCATCTCATTATACTATCCGCCCCAAGCGGGACCAAAAGAGGGCGCTGTTTTTATAACAACAGAGGTTCCTTTGGTGGGAATTGTATTTCCTGGCTCACTGACGACTATGAAAAGCATGTGCTGCGGTCCCATCGCTACCCACAAAATGAAAAGTCTCCACCAACATGGCTCTTTTCAACCCATGGAGGTACTTCTGCTCACGGTGGATAACACAGAAGGAGTGATGGCTACTCTTTGCGCTGTGCTTGGGCCAAGTAAAAAAACTACTTTTCCCTACTAACTTCCTTGTACTTTGCCTGCCTGTGTTTCCTGTTTACTGTTTGAAACATTTTGACTTTGTGTTTTAAACCACATGTTTGGCTGTAAATGCACGATTAAAACCCGTTTAACGGGTGAAAGTTAAGCTCTTACAATTCAGGCACAAAAGTAAAAAAGAAAAGGCTGCCTTTTTCAATTTAAAAAACCAGACGAGAACCTTTTTTAAAAAAAAAATTGCCTTCTAGAGAAAAATGCTACAGACTTGACGGGGTTGCCGTATGTTAAGTACAGGAGGCATCTACTGAGCACCCGGAGGTGGGTAACCACGTAAGGTCTTGATCTGGATACAGCAAGTCATAATTGAACCTGTTACTCCACAGTTCTTGGCTAACTTGCCCGGAGTGATAACTACCCAACATTGCAAGCATGTCTTCGCCCAAAAGGCATTTTCACAATCTCAGAGTCTCCAATCCACAGTACAGACAGAAAAAAAAAACAAACAAACAGTTCCCTCTCTCGAGAAGACACTATTTGTGGGGGGGTTCTGCAATGGTTGAGGTTGTCAACCAAGCACAGGTTCCAATGGAGTAAAAGCTTCACACTGAACTGGATATGCCAAGCCAAGAGAATTTGAAGTTCTGTATAATACCCAAGGAGGTTCAACAAGCAGACCCCCAAGTTTCATTGCTTGTAGTAGTTTGGCAGTGTTTCAGCTGTTCAGGATCTCTCGCTAGGGCCAGATATGGCAGATAGGGCCTGATAGTATTTTTTCCCTGTTCTCAACTGAACTGTTGTACGATTTACATTCCTTAAAAAAAAAAAATTCCACAAAGATCAAAGTCAAGACTGTAGGGGTGGCACAATCAAACCCTTAATGAATGCCAAGATGCTGGGGAGGTTTGCATGGGTGTGGCCTGGATCTTTCTTTTCTGGGGTGTCGGCGAACTTTTTTCAAAGGGTCGGTAAATTTCCTGGGAGGGTGGGGTGCAGAGCACTCATCAGTGGCAATCTGATTAAGCGATCAATTCTGAGGTATTGTCAAGCATATTGATGAATTTCATCCTGATTTGTACCATTCTGCCCCATTTTTTTACTTTGTCTTTTCCTCCTTTGTTTCAGCTTGGGGGGGCGAGGGAGGGCCCTGCTAGTTGCTACCCCCCCCATGAAACCCATGGAGGTTGGTATTTAGGCTCTTCCTGTCCAATTGCAGGTCGAGGGGTTTCGTGAAGGAATGGCCCCCCTACTTGGGACTGGACGGTAAGTCCTCATCCAGGACTAGCTCCTCCGATGCAAGTGTGAACTCGTCCTCCTCCTCGGCCGACTCCCGACTGGTCTCCCGCTTCAGCCCGGCATGCACTTTGCAGTTGGTGGCCTCCTGCTGTCTCTTCTCATAGTTCCTCACGTCGTCTTCGCTCATGTCTGGGATTCCGCACAACATTTGGGAGAGGGGGAAAAAAAATTTCACTGGGGTTACTTTTCTAGTGTCGCTTTCTGTCTGATGTAAAAACTGAAATGTGGCCAAGGATTTTCTCTGAGCTGTCCATGCCCTGTTTGCTTCTGACTTGACTTGTTTGGCAGACTCGACTACAATTCTGGATCACGAAGACAAAATGCACCTGTTGGTTGAATGCTCAAACCACATTTTCACAGCTTTTACTGAAAACTGTTCATTTCATAAGATAGCATTTATAAGGAATGGAAGAGGGGTGGATTTTGTATTACTGATTTTGTTCAGTCAGAAACTCGTTTGCAATTTTCATTATCAAACTTACACCCTGTATGTACTCACTGATGTCAACTTTTTGTAAACACAACCTGGCCTGTACTTACCATACCATTCATCGATCCATGCGAACGCCTGCCTGTGACCGAGCAAAAGTATGTCTTGTATTGCCTGCAATTGAAGATGCGGCGTGTAGTTAAACCAATACATTATCATTCCATTGACAATCACATTACGAGATACAAGCATTTGAGTCTGAGGCACATGACTGAAGATCAATGAACTCAAAAACTCAATCACAAAGGGCACGGTGGTTGTTGAATCTTTGGCAGCCATCTTTGCATGGAACCTAAAGGTCTATGGCGTCTTGCTGGAGCCCAGTGAGTAACAAAAACTGGCAGACTGCCCACATGAGTATTGACCTTGTTCTAGAGGTTGTGGGAGGAAATGCTACCCCTGTTAATTATTTTGTTGTGACTGATCTAGGCCCTCGTCTGTTGATTGAGATGAGAAAAGAAAGACTGAAACTGACTTACTTTATGTACAACGTTTTCTACCCTTGACTGCAAGCCCCAGACATCAAACTTGACTCGTACCACTTTGTATGAACACATAATAGTCTGACATTGTTCCTGTATTCAAGTAAAGAACAACATTGTAATATCTGCTACAAATGACAGAGCCGCTATGTAGTTTGTCTGTATTTCAAACACTGCAAATACTTTGAAAAAACTGTTTCTCCAACAACTTTTGTTATTTCTACTGATTCAGGAAGAGACAAATTTCTGTTATTACCAAGAAAAGTTGAAGTACCCCTTGTTCATCCCTCCTTAGTTGGGACTGTTGTTTGCATTTGCAAATATATATCCAAAACCGTAAAGTGCTCTAGTTTATTTCCTGAAGGACTTGTCACCAAAACATATTTTATGACTTCAGTATTATTCTACATTCAGTCTCCTCAAAACGTCCACAAAACATGAACAGCGCCCTCAAGCAGTTGTGAATAGGCAGGTGCAAACCATGTGTTAAACTACTCACTCGCCAGCCCGGCTGCAAGGGTCCCCTTCCTGTTTTTCTGGATTGGAATTTGGTCAGATCCTTTTGAATATACAAGGAAGAGAGAGATTGGAATGCGGTCAAATCCATGAATCAGGGAAAAAAATTGCAGTGTGTGTATATACAAGCACAACTTCCAAGAAGAGATTAACAAGTACAATGGAAAATGATCTGGTTTTTGTGCTGAATGAATCTGATGTCATGCACACAATTTGAAAGTGGGATGGGATGGCATTGGACGACCGACAGTTGGGTAACACCTGAAAGGAAGTGATGCATGTCACTCTTTCCTTGAATGACCCAGGACAAAAGCGGAAAAAACAGCTTTTTTCGTCTTTTTCTCATCCCTGTAGTCATGGACTTGCACAAAGTGCCTCAACTGCCACACGCACACACACAGCTTCTGAAATTTGCATCCTTGAGGAGACATGGCTTTGTTCTCCAGTACTAATATGGTCGCATGTGAAATGATAATTTCAAAGCGCTCCCATTTCAACATGAATCACTCTCCTAGGCTGAGGTTTTGACCGAATGTCCCTTATATGAAACACTTCAATTTGGGACAGATTCTTACACATTAAAAATTCTCTTTTTTGAGGGATTTCCAAAATATCAGTTACGCAAAATCCTTATGGAGACCTATACACACTTAGAAATTCCTTGTGGAGACCTATTCAACCCATTCTCCTGGGTTGCCACAAGGCATCACATTCCAAAAACACACACCCTACAGGCCACAGCAGTAATTCTTGTTCATGTAAACGAGAAGCTTTTATTACTGGCAACGAATATTGGTAATAACAAGGACTACTCAGGCTTGACCTGGAAGGCAACGAGCCATCTGCCAATGATGTTCAAATACTTAACCACCTGCATGTCACAGCAGCAAAGTGTACCAAATTACCCGCCTGTTGAAAACGGGACATGTATGTGTAATCGACAAACTATGCCGCCAGCAGCAAACCATTAAGTTTGAGGCCTATTTGCGACCCACCATTCCAAGACCAGGCTGACGTAGGTCGTGATGATGTTTGACCATTCCTCCCCACTTTTTTTTTCACTTCAGAGTGATTCTGAGTCCTTATTCGGTCTGCAGAAAACTCTGGTTATTATGACATGTTCGGATATTGACAGTTGTGAAACTTTCGTGGACATGAACAGTGGAAGTTCCACTACTGCAGGAATACGAGGTTACACCTACTTCAGTCTGGCTTTGGAACGGTGAGCCATCTTTGCCAAATTCTTAATAGCCATATACTGTGTTGGGCAAGTGATCTGGGTGTCTGCATGTACACACAGGTGCAAAGGTGGGGGGAGGGGCTTTCCTCCAAACCAAATACAGAAATACACAATTGAAATTGACAAGTTACTTCACAATGGATAATTCCTTCCTCTCCCCACTCCCCCAACATCAACAAGAACCTTTCGGGATCATTTCCTGGTTTACCTCCTCTTCCCTGTAATGTTTCTCTGGTATGTCATCGTAGGCGATGTCTAAGTGTAAGACTTGCCGCTCCTTCAGCTCTTCATCGGAAAGACGTAGGCACTGCAGGAGTCGCAGGGAAAATTAAAAAAAAGAACCAAAAAAAAAAAATTTCCATTAGGAAGTGCTCCAGACTCACTTTCTGCTTTGAAGGAATTGAGGGGAAGGCACAACATGAAAAAAATTCTATCCTCAAGGTCACCATTCCAGGAAGTGGATGCGACAACGAACAATAGCAGTGCCAAAACCTCTCTACATTCTCTGTTTCTGACTTCAAATTTACTGGCCTGTCATCATGATTTGTTTGGACAAGAATGATTTCCTGTAACCCACTCTACATGTTACAAAGAACCAGCTGAGAATTAAAGGGACATAGGTGTAACTATTTGAATCATTTGCACTCAACTGGCCTCAACTGTGCAGTCTGTTTAATACGCCTTTGTCAACCACAATTGAGGGCACTATACAAACTCCATGGACTACTGTGGCCTTCCCTAGCTAGTGGTTAAACAGCAAACATTATGCACAAGTTGAGGGTGCTTCCGCAATATTTTCCACAATAATGATGCAGCCGTTACACAAAGTTGGCCTCTGCAAAGCGAGGGAGGGGGTAAATTTGTTACATACATCTTCAGGAGATCAGACACGAAAAGAGAGATAACCTGAAAAAGGATGGCTAAATTGTGGAAAACTGAGGAAACTCAGTATCTCCAGTGAGAAATGTGAATATAATTGCCTGAGTATTTCATTACCGCTGGGAGAGACAACCACAGGTGTGTGATGTTTTCGCTTGCATTTCCTGGTAGTTAACAAAGTACGGCTCTGGCATAAATGCAGAGTGTAGCGCATGTACCGACGGAGTGGGCAACAAATGAAATCAAAGCGTCACACAAGGAAATGGATTCCGAAAAAAAATACATGTGCATGTATTTCCTTTGTACTTTCTAGGGCTTATTTCCTTGGAGAGATTGACGCTGATTAATGAAACATTCTGAGATTGAGCATTACACAGGAGACTTCAATTGCACTGTCATGACATTCAAGTGCAGATAGTATGCGGCAAATCTAGTGGAACATAACAGTAGCCATCCCTATTAAATTTTTCACTAGATCTAGCACAGGGAGCAGTGAATTTGTCTTCACTATTCTTGTCAGTTGCCAATGGCGACCATAACCCCCAAACCAGCACCATTTTGTGTGCCTAAACAATGAAAGATAAATTTTGAGAAACTCTTTGATTTCCCAAAGCATGGAAAGTTAGCCTCATCCCTATGAAAGACCATAAAAGATTGAAACAAAAAACACCCTGTTTAGGATCCACATGGATTCAATGAATGCCTGGCGTATGTGTTCATTCTATGGGTGTCAATTAACTTTCAGAAGTTGGTAACAAAGTTAAACCTTTTAGAAGGCCCACAAAGAAGCTACTGTAGATGTACAAATGCACAGAAAATCCCAATTCCCCAAATTGTAATACTTACATTTTCAGAGGTTCCTGAATTATTTTCATATCTTGTTTCTATAAAGATGCTAAACTTCGGTACAAAGGAACACTGCAAAATAAAATGAAAGTTTTAACTGCATGATTTTTCATTCAGGTTAATGATTCAAAGTTTGATAAACAATGGCAGACAGGAATTGAATAATCCCATGACCAGGAGTAAATGTCTTGAGGAAAATTTTTAAATCTGCGTACATTTCTAATGTTTTCTGCGATTCAAAAAACTGCAATCCTATCTTTACTTTCAAAGCTCAGATAAGGTCTAATAACTGCATTACCGCATGCATGTGCATAAAGTGACATTTTCAATACACTATTCCAAATTCACGGCAACCATTAACATTTGCAGCTGTCTTGAGAATCAGCACAAAGGAAGGGATTTACACGTATTCTCATCATCAGCCTAGTTTGAGTTAGCTTCCTACGGCTATCCTATCTGTTTGTGCATCACATTCACAGAAGTCATCTGGGTCTGGTGTCAGACTTATTGGATCAATGAACAAAGTCACTGTTGAAATGATGCAAGGCCAAAGGGCTTAGATCTCCCCACAGTCTGGTGCTAAATACAACTCTATGGCTTCAGTATAGAGAGGATCAAAAATTGTTTCACCATTTTCCCAAATGTACAAATTATGTGGGAGGAGGGGTATTGAGGGACTTGTAAACTTTCACATGTGCTGAAGAAGACGATAGTATGCAACGTAAAAACAATTTTTGTCCCTTTCAGTTTGTATGCGTAAGGCCAAGGGAAAAGAAGAAAAACGAGTACATTCTATATGCTCATGATCATGAAAGTCCAGAAAAAACAGATGCCTGTTAGTCTTTTCTATATGCCTGGTCTCACAGCCTAGACTTGTTTCAAGTCTGAAATTCTGATGTGGCTATTGTTATGCAGCCCTACCCTGACCAGAAAACCAATTGGTTCAATGGTTGTGCATTCACATTCCCAGCAGAAAGACCCAGCTCATCTACGAAACTTGAGGCTTGGACCAAGTCTAACTTGACACCGAATCTCTCTGGAACTGGACGTGCTCCATGATGGATGCTTTCTCTCCCAGGAGCAAAGGATAGGCCCCAGGTGTTATTGGGAAGAGGAAATTCTATCTGCGCCAATGGAATGAGATTTCTGTGTGACTAGCTGTTTGAATTCAAGAGACTGTATCGCTGCTGGTGCAGGTTCACGGTGTGGGTCTTGCTACTGAGGTTACTCTTTAAGCTAAATTAATGTTTGGGTTGATATAAAGAAAGCCGTGCACAGCATGCTATTGTGGCGCCTCTGTAGAATTCACTGTAATTTTTTCATCGTTTTGTGGAAAATAGATGTAACGAAAATAGTAACAAGAAGACCAACTGCAGCTTCAACATTTTCAGACAATACATTTGTTACCAGTGAGAAATTGCATGTAACACACAATAACTGATTGGACCCAAAATACATGATTGACTTTGAAGTTCTTCCATCTTTTAAACCCAGGTGTTTGACTGCTACATCTTTCACTTCCCCCTCCTCATTTCTTTCAAAAAGACACTTAAAGCTACACTTGGACATTTTCCAGACAATACGTTCTCTTGTTGTCTATTACACTTACTGTGTATTCTGTGGTACGATATTTGAATCCCACCGGAAGATTCGTCGAGGCGACATGTCGAGATGAAGTCATCCGTCCGAATCATCCGCGGCAGACACAGTGCACCAAGGGTGAAGAAAGTCGAGAGAAAACATAACAAAACAATCAGCACAAGGTGTTGAGTAATTGCCTCTAGCCGTCAAGACCAAATGAAAGAAATTTTGTGCGAGGTACAAGCTGGCACAAGTGAATTAAAACATACATTTTGGTCTTCGGAGAGTTATACTGTACTTGTACACATGTACATGTAGGTTCATAGAATTTTGGGGGGCCTGCAAGTGAGCATTGATTCCAAGAGTGGAAAGGAAATCTGCGATGACAGTCAAACAAATGAGATTTGGGGGGGCATTTAATAAGGGAAGGCAGTTTGAAAAACCTGGCATTAATGAGAAAGATAGAACTTTAGAAGGGAAGAGGAACAGCGGTAGGAGAAGGGTGCTTTGGATGGCTAGTTTGAAGGAGTGGTTAGTGAAAATGGGGTGTATCTTGAGAAGGTGGAGCAGTTGGAGAAAGCCAAAAGGGAGAGGATTATGACATGATCACCTAGGTGTGCGTCTGTGGATATGGTACTTGGAGAGAGAGGTATTTCAACCCACGAACATCTGAGAAAGGCTAAACCTTGAAGTTTTATTACATTGGCCATACTGGTTTCCTGTTCCTGAACTGTACCTCTCATCATGGAGGTAGAATGTGATTAGTATGTGATTCTACCTCCATGCTCTCATGAACTGTATTTTTTTTCAGTGTTCTGAGTAGGAAGCTTTCATGGAATGAGTATAATCACGACCTTGTGTATCAAGGCATGCAGTTGGTCCTTTGCTCTCATAAATGTGGGTCACAGCACTAGCCTCTAACCATTTTTAATGCCCAAACCCATCAGGAGTCCACAAGCCAGTTAATTACAGCAGAGAATGATGGCCTGCTGATCTCATTATAGCAGCTACCATTGGCCATCAATCAAGTGTCAATTCATCAGGCAAATAGAGGAAATGAAGAAGGCATGTTGAAGTGATTAGAAAAAAAACCTGTAATCAAGGATATCTGCCAGGTGGAGGGCAAGAGTCTCTCAGCTCTTGAAGTTGAGGGAATCTTGATGCGTACTTTGCATTTCAATTAAAAAAAAATTTATGCATTTTCAGCCTAATTTCATGGATAGAAAGCTCTGCGATCCATAGATTTTGCCTGTATAACAATAAAAACCACAAAATATGGAGGGCCTGACGTTTCGATCCTAGCAGAATCTTTCTCAAAGGCAAAATGACAAGTGGACAGGACAAACAAGCAAACAGGAAATCAACCAAGCATGGACGAATGCAGCAGGACAAAAGGAAAAGCCGAGAAAGCTGCAGGCTGGATAAAGGGGCCAGGGGTAAAGGGGACTGCATGAAAGGTAAGGTTGAGCAACAAAGGGATGTAAGGAAGGAAGACATCAAAGAAAAAAAATACAATGAAACGAACTGGACCCCAAGTGGGGGGGGGTATGATCTGCAAACAAAAGAGAGGAAAAGAAAAGAGTGTTAATTCATTGTTTTGCTCTTGAATGTTCAGGCCATGGCATTGTACGGTGCAGAGACATTTATAAAAACCACGTCGTACCAAAAGCAACAGAAAATTCAGTTCTAAATGCAGTAGTTGTACGGACATGCTCATTACCCACTGGAACTAATTAGGCAGTGAATCTATGACCAGATTTTGATTCGATTTGCATTGTTTTACTTAGTACATGTACGTCCCTTATATGTATGTGTACATTAGGGTTGAGTTCAAACAACACTTCCCTTGGTGATTCAGCAGGGAGGTTTTGGTGACACTGTAAATGATCCCCCACACATTTACACAGCAGATTTCATCACCTCCCCTCATTCACGAAGGCCTTACTTTGGACATTACACTTTACAGTGTCTGAAACTGCTGTTCTCAGACTGACCTTAAGTAGATCATGTGCTAATTTATGTAAAATATGGTTGAAGGTCTGAAAAATAAACTTACATTCAAACAATAATTCTACAAGAGCAGGGCTGTAAATACAAATACATGTAGCAAATTTCCATTCAAATGAGATTAAACAAAGAATTTTGATCTTGACGTATTTCCTTCTTTAATTGGTATCTCTTGCAAAGTAAAGAAATTGCCATCAAGTTCATGAACAGACATATTTTGAGTCCCTCACACGAAGTTATTGTCTCTCTATAGAGCACAGAATTAATGGTGTGATATCACCGATTATTTATGTGCACAGACTCTGAGCTGCAAAATTTACATGTAAAGTAGACATGTTTTACACTTACTTTAAAGTTTTATTGAAAATAGTTAAAGGACTTAGCATTTACAATCTCTCTAGATTCTAGCAGAATCTTAGCAAAGAGGCAAGAAATTAAATGCAGCTTTCTGAAAGCATTTAGGAAAAGATTCTGCTAGGATCGATCGAAACACAGGCCCTCAATTTTTTTTTTCAATTTATATCTTAGGTCAATTTCACCAGCACGCAATACACTGGGTTATTTTGTATTTTACACGGCTCAAAATTTTAAGAAAAATAACAAATTTGCAGGAGCACATGTACTAGTTCAGGCTGCCCATGTAAAGTAGGCATTTTTGATAAAGTAAATTGGCAATTGCTCAATTCAAAACACCACATGTGGTAAAGAACGGCACAACTGCTGTCACACAACCTGTTAATAATTTGCCCAACCATATTCTCACAGCCCTACCCTCCTCAAAACCATCAGGTCAGTGCACATAATCAACATGTGCACTGAGCGCTCTTCTTTTGAAGCATACGTACGTGCCTCTCTGGCGATCCAGCCCATCTGAAAATATGTGGTTACCGAGGTAACCCGATACACCCCCACTTAAACTAGAATTAATTGAATAGCGCGGGCAATGGCCACCGGTGTTCCCTTCCGCACTCTCTCGCTCCCTTAAAAGGACCGGAATCATTGACTATTTTTTTCTCTCTCTAACACTCACTTGTTTGCTGCCTGAGGGTGAAGCATTTAAAAACCTGTTTGGGTGGCTTTTTTTTTTCCACCAAGAAGCCATTAAATTTGTCCAAGGCTTGAGAGGCATTTGCTTGAACCTCTTGATCACATCCCGGCCATCCTGTGGTGGAGTCCAGGGCTAGGAGCACAGGTTGGTTACACCACAGAGCTACAAACCTGCTCTATAGTTACCCGCTGAAGTGTTTCGCTTGCTGCACATACGAGCAGGACCGGATTATTTTAACAGGCACAGTGGGCACTGTGCAATGCATCTACCGGTTGGCCCTAGGAGAAAGTTGGAGGCCTATGAAAACACCACAGTGTGCCGTAAATTGGACGCAGATTTTGCCATCTCTTTCTTTCTCTGAATTTTTTACGTTTGGGACAGCTTCAAACATGCTGGTACCGTGCAGCATTGCATCAACACGCAATACAAAATGTGAGGCTCAGGCAGGCTTACCAGCGCTTTGTAATTGGGAAGGGTAGACCAACAGAACACTGTGCCTATAGTGTCAATAAAGCATTTTATCTGGTCCTAAACCCTGTAAACAACTGATGCTCATATTTTAAGGTCTTTTCCTTTGGGCTGATTTACCTTTTTCAACCAACTCATCAGAAAAATGATAGTTTGTCAACTGGTGTGCCTTACAATTTAAGGGGGAACATTCCCCTAGTAACAAAAATTTAGAAACTCTTTCTCCCACGTGCAACACATATCTGTTAGTTTCAATATGCCTCCCTTGTTTTATTTTTTATCTCTCTGCCTTTGTCAATCATACTAATCTGTATTACCTGGCCGAAATGGGATTTTACATGCAAGGTTGCTTTGGAAAAAAAAAATCTTGAATTCTATGAAAATTGACACTTATTATTTTTTTTCATTCTGGTGCTATCTCAGCTTGACTGATTTCTCTCCTAGCACATCTTTCAAATTTCTCTTGCAGGGAGAAGAATGTGACCTCACATTGGATCTGTAACCTTTTCCATTTTATTTAGAAGCCCCTGGGACTTACTAGCCTCCATATCATATTGTGTGACATAAACAGAGTTATTAATCATTCCACATATTACATGTAGCTCTTCACTCCTCAGTGACTGGGGAATTTCCAAGATGCAGCCAAACAGCCTTCTTCTGAAAAAAAAAAATGCCCCCGGATGATATTGACCCGTCTATGGTCGATCAGCACGGTGTAATCTAAGACCAAGAAGCAAGCATGTTTTTCCACCTCAGAGACACTTTAAGAAAAAGAAAATCAAGCCTCTGGAGCCAAAAGTCCTGTAATTACGCTTCTTGGTGAGGGCTGTGTCGGTATGAAATGCCATCTGCATCGGAAGCAGGGCATTATAAACACATCCATCTCATTCTCTACTGCGGGAAAGCTGGTCCTTAAAGATGTAATGATTGACAACATTCATGAACTACCCAGTACATTCAGTGGTGTAACTGGGGGGGGAGGGGGACTTAGTAAATGGGGGCACGGGCATCCGCCCCCACGAAGAGGTCCATGCCCCCTGGGAGCTCCCCTTTGAAATTGTAAAATGTATATGACCTACATGTATGTACATGTACATGTACAAGCCACAGTTCATCAGTTCCTGTGCCCCCCCCCCCAGTCAGTAACTACATGTACACTGAGAAGCTGGGTATCCTTTGCTTTTCTGACACACGACATGATTGAAGCAGTGCATGGCATAACCAAGCAGGAAATGAGGGACATGGCCACGAGTGCCCCCACTGCCTTATAAGAACCCCTGTACAAGCCATTGTTGAATTGCTTTCAGTGTCCCCTTGGGGAAAAAAAGGGAACAGTGTATGCACCCCAGGTGCCCCCTCAGATATGTATAACCCTCGATGTTACTGTATACCGGTACATACCAGTACATTTTATACACAACTGGCTTGAGCAATAGGAGACGTTATGCCGATGTACATGTACATGTATGTTTACATGTACATGTATGTGGCCCAGGCACACATGTGCATGTACATGCTGCATTTCACAGAGTCGGTCATAACATGGGTCCTAACTCTCTGGTCATAACAGACAGCCTTGCTCTGTGGTCATAAGCAGTCAAATCTGCTGCGATCAAAATTCTGCTTTGAGCCAAAAGGTCACAAGGCATATACTACCGGTACACGTACATAAAACATGTGCAGCGCTTCAGGGCTGGGACCCGCTATGGCTCCCAACTGACATTTTGTCCTGGGACGATAATTCAGAAGGGTGATCTTTTCAAATTTGGCAACATCGGGCTGATAGAAACAGATTTGATCTGGAGATCACAGGCAGGTCAGCATTAATAATTCTTCAGTTTCAGCCATTTTTCTGTTTTAATTTTTATTTTGGTGAGAACAAGTTTTTTTCTTCTTTTCAGTAAGCATTTTCACACCAGGCTGAATTTCAATAGCTGTAAAAACTTTCTGCAAAATTAAATTTAAAAAATTTAATTAAATTTTGAAGAAAAAAAAAAGAGAGCGAATCCAGCATACGAGAACTTTATTACAAGACATTTATCATTTTCTTTTGCTTTGGGCACTGAAGTTAAATACATATACAACAAGCTGACCCACTATCCTAACGAATTTTCAATCATCCAGGACCATTCATCATTTGAGGATAAGACCCTACGTATATGTGGCTCTATTATGAGACTGACACAATCAGCCTTGCCGATTCGACCCTTTTATCCAATCCATGGCCCCAAGACAGGGATTTTACTGATGGGATGAACAGATCAGAAGGTATTCGGCTGTACCACAATTCAATTTGTATGGTTGCCGGGGTGCAAAATCTTATAATCTATACTGCTGACAGCATACAATGCCGAACTTCATTCATAATACACAATGTGCACCATACTGTCTAACTCTCTCTGACTGATCTTCAGAGCATAATTCATGGAGACGGCACCCTTGGAAAGATTTAAATAATTACAAAATTGCGCGCAATGGGAACAGGTGCACAATACGGCTGGGATTTGTTAAGGAAATTACAAATGCACCAGTAGATACAAGTACATGCTTTTCGCCAAACAAAAAGGAGACGGCCTGGCCATGTTTCTGAATTTACCGGTACCAGCACTAGTACAGTCATCTCTGTTCTGGAAGGCAACGAGTCAGACTTTTCCAAACTACGCCAAGAGTCCCTCCCTGGTGAAGTGGTACAATGTGCAGGCGGATACTTTCTGTCGTGGAACGACTCTTGATCGTCGCTTCTGCCAGCCTTCCCAACTATCCATGCTCAGATGCGTTTCTCTCAAATGAGGACACCAACAATGTGTGCACATTGAAATGAAAATTGGTGGTGTACACCCTTTATCATTAGAATGAGTGCACTGAGAATCCTACTTGTTTATCTCATGAATAGTCCATGGTGAGGGTACCCTTGAGGTAGATTCTGTTTAGATCAAAACTTTGGGCCCTCCGAACTTTCTACTCTTTTCAAAATGATTTCAGGTCACTTCAGTCGAAAAGCATGTTCAAAACAGCCTGTCATTTTTTGGACATACATGTAGGTGAACAGCTAAGCTGTTACTGATCCTGGGAAAAACCCTGATATAACAGAAGGAAATTGTGTCTCCAGACACATATCCTTGGAAAAACCCACAAATGCATTGTTACAAGCAACCATGTCTGGCACCCGAGACAAAAACTCTGCCACTTAATACATACAAGCATTCCATATGTCTGTATGTGCACAGTTTATCTGACAGCTTTCGGTGGGACTACCCTCAAATGCAACAACAGCTTCCAACCTGGACTTTTTCCCCAATCATTTCGAACCAACAGCGGAACACGAAAAGGCCATGTTGTGGTTACCTTTCAAGGAAAAAAAAGTGTTTTCATACACTGCATGGCATGTACTTTGCAGACCCCGGTGGGATTTCCCATTTTAAACACAGGATTCTTCTACGTGATCACAAAAATCTTCCTGGCGACCTTAAAAACTACAGTGTGGCACTTCTTACAACTGCTACTACATGTACAAAAATTCAAATTATATAGCTCCTTTTAAAAATGGACCTGTACGAATTGGCGGACAAGTAAACTTAAAGGTGACAATTTTTTAATAAATTATGAACAAGTTAATGATGTACATGTAAGTCTGAAAGAGACTGATGTCTTGATCTTAATAGAAAACATCGCAAACTTCAAAGATCAACTGTTGTAGACGAGTCCACCACAAGTCCTTACATGTACATGTAAGTCATGACTCCAGTCACAAATCCTTTCACAAGGCCAGTTATTATAAGTGAACAGTAACTATGGAAAGCTTTTGTAACAGTTTATTTGAATAACTTGTGATTCGTCTCTGGACTGAATGGCGTGCAGCAGGTTTGAAAATACCTCTAAATTTCATACTGCTAACTTTCATTCATATACAAAAACATGCATGATGACAATTGACATGTACCAACCTGTGATGGTATGTGGGAAGTAGTTCCATGCTTTCTCGGTGACGTAGAAGTAATTGCATATTTTCGATAATGATTTCTGTATCCACGCTGGCAGACGACTGCATACAAAACAAAGCAGAATAAAGAATGAAGCAGCTCAGTACGGAGTAAGAAGAGTGATTGAAAGAAACCCTTGACAAGCCAAATACTTAATACAATTCAATGATTCCTAACACACAATAAACATTGTCTTTGGTGACTTGAGCCTTATTGAAGTTTTCATAATCAGAGACAAGCACACACGTTTAATGTACATGTTTACTGGTATGTGCATGTACATGCATGTGAAACCAATGGAATAACAACAGAAAAATGTCAACATCAACTTAGGCAGTGGAAAAACCTCGATAACATTCCTCAGTGGAATAACAGACCGCTTTGAAGGATGTTTACTTCTAGAGCCATTTAGCTAAAGTTGACGAGACCATGGCTCATCCATTTTGAACAAATGCTCAGTATATGCATCACTGGAACTTTGTTACAAACCGTTTTCGTCAGCAGTAGGCAGTGTTAAGCGCTAGGTACCGGTATCTGTGGTTATTCCATTAATTTAATTTACACTTGCCTTCTGCACACACACATGTATGCGCTTTTGTTTGAATAGTTAAAAACAACCACAAAATGTACATTTTTCATAATCTCAGCCTCTGCAGTTTGAAAAGTGGCTAAATCAAGTGTGATCCGTTAAACAAACCATGTGCTGCCCTCTACACGCATCTGTGCATATCCACAGTCAACCCGTATCTGGTTTGATGTCCATGTTATGGACAACATTTTAAAAACAGATGATGTAAACGTGTGGTGAGGTCACTGTATGTATGAATCAGTCATCAAGCTTTATCTCAGGTTGTCGACTACTATAGAATACAAAGTGTTGCAAGTTTAGCAAATCCCAATTTTGCAAAGCGTTATTCCGCATTGCTGTGTCACTCATGTCTTTCTACCAAAAAGTGAAAAGGTCCTATTGCACATTTGAATTGATCTTACTAACATCCTACAGTGGCTTAAGAAATGAAGTCTACTTGTAGTGATGAACTCTATACCTGCACGTACATGTACTGGTACATATACCGGTACATATATGCATATAGGTACCATGTACTCGCTGTGCTGCTGATACAAGACACACGCTAGCGCTAGTGTGGTCAGCTTACCCTTGATTCACGAATCCTTCACTTAATAGCCCTCAAGTCAAGCAGGTAATTAAAACAGGACCTTTCATAAACGGCCACAAATTGCCTCGCTAACTGTCCCATTTAATAATGCAAATCCTGCCCATGAAAGATTGATGCGAGAGAGGCTATGTAGCTAGTCAGTCATAAGGAAAGGGGTTGGACGAACTCCACATGGAAACCACGACAATTAAAAAAGACTGGGGTGGGTCAATTTTACACAAACAACAACTGCAATTTATTTGGGTAATTTGACAGTGTTCAGTTTTATATACAGTGCAACGCTTCAACACAAGAGAATTAAAATATTGCACATGTGTGTTCAAAAGTTCAAAATTGGTGGGCAAAAGGTTTAATTGCATGTACTAGTATGTAATTTATACCGACTGAATTAAGTTGCAGGGGTAAACTGATATTGTTAAATTTTTCTGATCTTGACCATTTTTTACTTCTACATAAAGAGATGTAACTTTCAACATTAATCGAAAATTACGCTTTAAAAATTAGTCAAGATGCTATAACTGGAACATTCTCTTGTTAAACTGGCCAGACTGCTGCAAAGTCCAAAGAATAAAATTGACATCATGTTCAGTTGACATAGGGCTTTCCCAGATGGCAATGAGATGGGACGTGATCCGTTGAGCGGCCATACAGTTGGATCGCGTATCTACATGTTTTTAAACAGAGCGTGACGTAAATGTACGTGTATATATGTACATATGTAATTATGATTTAGGTCTGTTGTTACATGTACGTCTGTATCTGTGACAAAATGGATTTGAAAGTTTTTTCCATGCTCCTTTCTTTTCTTGTGCGAGGAACTTTCTCCCATCAAATTTGTGTGTATTTACATGTACATGCATTTGCACTCACGCTCATCGGAAACAATACATACTGGTATATATTTTATCCTCCGGGTCTTTCAATTTGAATCAGTAAAGTGCTTCAACAGATAAATTACCATGACATATTCAATTTGAGGCCAACAATCAGAAGCCGCTCATTATCATGTCGTTGTGTCATTTTGGTTATATGATGGCAGGAAGCAGTGCGTAAAAACTGTATAGGCACTTTACAGGCATACGGTGCATGTACATGCATGTACACTGTATGTGTACTTAGATGCACTTGTCTAGACAACACATCAATGAAGTCAATCGTGGGCATAAAAGTCCACGCCGTGCCATATGCCACCCGAGGCAGAAATCCAATATAACGACCATGTCGACCCACTCCTGTCTCTCTAATTGACACGTACACGAGCATTGTTGTACCTGGGGGCAACCTAATGAAAAATCCCGTTGCCAGGGTGTGTCCAGTCCACGCATCAATGAAGTCTGGAAATAACGACTCACAGGAAACACCTGTATTAAAAGGTTATAGTACCAAAATAAAAAGGGAGCAGCATGCACCTGTTACCATGGCCTTCAAGAGTGCTGTGCCCGCTTTGTCTCATCGATCAGAAATTTGCTGCAGCATTAGAGATACGCTACATATATATGTATACAGTGGCTTCTATCAAACAAGCAATCAATAAGTAGCCCAAAGGCATCAGGCCTCTATACATGTACCAGGGCTTGCTACATGTGAGTCTGAAAGTCTCAGTTACCGGTATGTGATGGCAGTAAAACAGATGTTTCTGCCAAACTACAACGGTGTAAAGTGAAGAAAACACATACCGGTACATACATGTATGTATACTTAAATACAAGTTCATACCAATCCGAACAATTTCGAACCAAATGCAATATACATGTACATGTATGTATCTGTATGTCTGTCTATAGTATCAAGAGATATCTAGTGAAGGGATCAAAGGGTATTTTTGTAGTTGCGTTTAGGGAGAATGCCCTTAGAAATGGCAAAATGAGAACAGAAAATAAGGTTACTGGTACCGCGTAGGTAAAGCACAAATAAAGGATTGCCTTTAACATGGTAGTAGATGCAACGCAAAACATGTTCAGACTCACTTCATGAGATCCACTTGCAAATTTATGTCAAAAAAGGATGTTTTTTCTAGTGAGTTCCTTGAGAGAAACACACCCTGTGCCACACAAATGTACACGCACCGGTACATTGTACAATACATGCACAAAAGGTGGGACAACTGTTTGGAAATACTGCTACTGGTAGAAACGGAAATCTGCATGGGTGAGCAGTGATGCAAGGAGTCTTCTCCATTTACGAGTCACTAAATGCACATGAGATACATGTAAACGGGCCTTCTTGAGACATTCAAGTTGATCGCAAGCACACCTGCAGAATGCACACACTCTGCATGGATACGGAAGTACCGGTACATTTTGGCACGGCCTAACTACTCTACCTGTACCTGTACCTGTACAAGAGCTAACACGACTGTCATGACTGTGCTTCAGTCCAGTTTGTGTAGCGTAATCAGGGCAAGCCGTCTTCCCGACAGCTAGCTGAAAGTGCCCAAAGTGTACGCACGCCGATATAAAGGCTGCTTGACTGTTTCACTGGCTGTCTTTCTCTACCTCTACACCGAATGTACAGTATGCATCCGTCTTCGACCTGTGCATCTCTTTAGCATGGACCAGTGAACTGCGCTTACATGTATAATGGTACATGTACATGTAGTTTTCAAGATAGCCTAAGTGCACTTGGTTCTGTCAAGGTGGTAACCTTGCTCTTGAACAGTTACCGGTAGAAAGCAACGTGTAAAACAAAATCACAAGAAACCCTACAAGCATTCCATGTACCTGAAGTTTGAAGAGGCAAAAATTGTCTCGAGTCCAAGTCAAAGATTCAAGTGTACAACATGGCAATGTCCTGACACAAAATATAGGAAATTGGATCAACACTAATAGAATGTTTATGTCAATTTAAAACACAGAAATCTGCGATGTACAATGTACATGTATATTTAGTAATTTGTGTCAAGAACTACCAGTACATGTAGGGCCAATTTCACAGCACTGCTAAGCACACGATTTTACGCTGAAAGAGGCTCTGCCTGTTTCACGGAGACCATAAGCAGTAAGTGCAGCCAAAAGCATGCTACCGGTAATCTTGGAGGAAAAAGTTGTTGAACTTAGAGATGTATCAAAGGAAATCTCTATGCGTGCCCAAGCAGTTTGTGTGTTATAAAGCACAGCAACCGTAAAATGTTTGTTGTGAAATATGCTTAAATCATTAAGCAAATTTTGTGCAATAAATGTAGTTAACAAAAAACTTTGCTTAAAAAGGTAGGTAAGCAGTGCTGTGAAATTGGCCCCTGTTGTTAGCCTAGCCTACCAGTAATACATGTAGCTGAACTCTGAACCAAAATGAGAAAACAAACAGAAAGTGCTGCATGCTAAAACTGAAGTGTCAAATTTATCACTTGCATTTGTGCAGCCAGAGACTACCGGTAATTGGCACTTTGAAAGTGTTGAATCTAGCAGTTTAAAATTTCAAGTGTAGCATTCAACAATTTCAAGGCCAAATTGGAACAATGTTGAATTAACAATTCAAACGTTGAATTTGCTTTTCCAATGTTGGGTTTAAAAATCAGAATGCTGGATTCAACACTTTCTAAGTGTAGTCACTGACTGGACCGATGAAAGTATTGGATTCAACACTCCAGTTTTTAGCATGCAATCTCTCACAGATCAGCCCACTATCTACAATCTTAAAGATTTCCAATGTCCCAAAATATGAATGACTTTCGTTCGTGTTCATCACATTTGGTGGGGAAAAATACTTGGCAATTCCCTTTCAATGTGAGGTGGTTGGAAAAAAGCACAACAGAGAAAACATGGACTACTTAAGAGTCAATTGCCAAGGGCATTACAGTGTAGCACGTACCGCTGTTCTTCATCTTCACATACACAAATGCACTGTAAATCATTATTCATAAAGACCTCAGACAGTCTTCCTATTCAACAACGTGCATCTTGACTGTATATTAATATTTGATAATGCCCGCTGATGAGAAGTGATAGGCCTAATACCCACTGCATAAATCACAAGCTGGCGCCTGGTATGAGACAGTTTAATCGACTGTGATTGGTCAAGAGTCGTGTGCACATGGCTCGCCACGCGCCAAGTCCGCATAATTATAGGAGATTCTATTGGACAACTTGCACAAGGAATATACCATAAATGGACGGGGTGTTTGGGAAAAGGAAAGTAAAATTCTAGAACAAAATCATTGGAAATCTATGTTTATTGACTTCTTTTGACTCTCTGACTAAAAACAGTATTTACGAATGGGAATAAATATGTGCTTGGCTGGTCTAATGTTTAAGACCGGCTCAGGAGACTGAATGTTGGTAAAGTCACATCCAGTCTCCTGAGCCGGTCTTGAGCGCACGTTTAAGACTGGCCAAGCGCGTATTTATTCCCTGAATAAAGCCTCCTATCCACTGCTTTATAGACTACTACAGGTACACATGTACACGTATGTACCGTACATCCTATGGCAGTCCTTAAGTCATGTGCAGGTCACGCACACAAGAGAAATGTCTCTTCAGCACGAGGGCAAGCACAGTGCCACTTCTCCCAAAGTTCAGTCTGCAGTGGACAGAGCCTACATGTAGTTGTACCTTGAGAGGTAGATGCGTTTCTCTGTGTATCTTCCCTTGCCGTGCACGGGATCATGGCAGTCTTCATTCTTGATCACCTCCACCCCTTCCCCCTTCTGTGACTGCTCATTGCTGTGCTTGGCTATCATGTACAGCTGGCCGATTCTGTACTGGAATGGTGAAAACGGAGAATGGGGAAGCAGACAAGTGAGACTCGACTGGGTTCTGCTTGTGGAGAATTCAAACAGATGATATTAAAAGCTTTTATGAAGTATCAGTCGTGCGTGTACATGAACATCTTTATTCAAGTTGGCATTAAGCGTAGGAGGAACAGTATCTCTTGAGGTTTTTACACCGAAACCTCAGTGACAGACTTGGGGTCAAGGTTATGTAACTCATCAAACGCAGTCCAACTTTCAGCATAGAGCAAGGAACAGAGTGCTTTCAGGAGTAAGGTTAACGCAGCTGGTACTTTCCTCACCTTCCACCTCTGTGGCTCAGGGTTAGAATCCCACCCAGTCCGACATGCAGATTGGGTTTGCATGCACTGGCTGGATCTACCGGTATGAGTTCTTTCATTGGTTTTCCTGCCACTGCTAAAGCTAAAACATTTCTTTACCGTCTCCTATCCACAGGCTTGCCCCCTTCAAAGCCATGGAAACTTAATGGTTTTATAAAAGAAGAAAGCTTCCTTTTGGTTCATGGAATTTTGAGATCTGCACAAAATTAGCACATCCAAATGACGATAAGCATTTCTCGGCTTTTACATCAATTTAATATAATCTGGGCAGATATGTGATGTCGTTCAATTTTCAACCCTTTGAAACGGACACCCTGTTATGGAAATACAAGAATCTATCTATACGGTAAAACAGACTGTGTGTTAATCCTGCCCCGTCGGCTCTCGCCCACTCAATCCGTCACCGGGCACGACGCAGCTATCAAGTCATGGCAATCAAGTTGGGAACCTTGTTATTAGATAAACTTAATCAAGCTGCAAGTACAGTCCCCTAAGCATATATCACAAACACAACAAAGATGGAAACTTTTCCCCCCCCTGGATTGGCCTTTGGGGGGTGATTTATAAACAATGTCAAGTGAAATTGGAGAGTGAGCTGTGAGAGAGGTTTAGGGTGCTTACAGCTGCTGCATTACTATTAGGGATTGGGATGGCTTGACATGTTAGTGTACAGCACAGGTACAGGTACATGTAGCTGACACTTCTTGGGATTTATTCACAGACACAGAATACTTACAGGCTGATGTTACACATTTCATATAAATTAAACTTAGCGGTACAAACATACTGTACATGTACATGTACTCTTATACAAGTTGTCCCCTGTGTACATGTACTGTATCTTGTCAATATAGGTGTAATTTGTGCAGGGGCATAATGGGTCATTCTATACATCTTGGGTCCAAAAGTGTGACTTTTTTGCATCCCTGTCACACCTGATCTGATTTATAGCCAGTTCAATATTCAAAATGGCACAGTTACATGTACTAGCGCTATGTATCTGAGACAAGGTACACAGCTCAAGCATTATTATCCAGTGTGAGTGAGTTAGCATACGACCATGCTGGTAGAGCCAGTGACCATTCTTGAATGACGTGTGTACACGTACATGTATGACACACTTATTTTGGGCATGTAGTTTAAGAATACTGAACAGGCTCATTCCAAAACTGTGACCCACCATCCCAAAACCAGGCTGAAGAAGAAGTTAACTTCATTAGTAGAACTTCCACTGTTCAGATTTTCATGGGAGATTTACAGCTATCACGACCCGTAAGAAGCTTACTGCAAACAGAATTTTGATTTAACCCCTTCAAGCCGGGACGCGTTAAGCAACGCCGTAAAAAATGAGATCCTCAGCTCGCTTTTCAGCTATTATTCTCGGCCCATGCTCGAGCGAACACGGTGAAAGAAGGCAGACGCTGGCTCTTGTATATATGGCGATTGGCCTTTGTGTGTAGTCCAGAAATGAAAAGACCGAACTTGCATCATAATCACCAGCTTCACAATAATCCCCAGTTTGAAAAGTGGCAACGGGAATGTGGAAGCGTGAGTAGAGCCGCAAACCACCGAACAATCACCCTTTTCACTGTATAATTCAAAGCGTGCAGAGCACGCAGGGCCACAAACTGAGAATTTGCGGTTTGGCAGGTGGTTTTCATGGCCAAGCGAGGCTGAAATTCTTGGAGTTGGCTTTCGGGAAGAAATTCCCGTCGTCAAGGGGTTAACATGGATCACTTTTTAAGTGAAAAAAAGCTGAAGGAGAGGAATTGTCCAACATTACAAATACCAACTTAAGCCTGGTTTTGGGATGGTGGGTCACAAATGTGCAAAAAGTTTCGAGGGAGTTGAAGATCTCATAAATTTAGCAAAACATTTCCAGGCTGAGTTCCTGGAAAGAAAAATTGTCCCTCCCCGAAGTTTCTACGCAAAACAAATTTCAATTAAGACTTTATGCCCATTGAAGTGAGCATGCATCAGCATTCAGCGATACAACCGTGTGGAAATCACTACGCATATATACACGGTTTCAACCTACATGTACAAATGTATATGTAACAACCACTTTTGACACACTACTCGCAAAATGAGGAGAGGCAGAGGAAGGCTCTCGTTAAAATCAGTTTTCATTTCTTGGCATTTTATCTAGGCGCAGGACAGAGCACCGTCTTTGTCACTGAAGGCATGTGCCTGTGCTTAGCCTTCAGGAATAAATGCTTTCAGAAATGCAATCCTCCTTGATGTAATGTACATGTACATGAGCATGAAGAATTCACATACATTGTAACATACTCATATCCCGGTACGTGTATCAGAGACTTTCTCTGTAATTTTGAAGTACTGGTATCTACATGTACATGTACGTCTACGTGCAGATGATACGTAATGGAAGAGTATGTATCAAACTTGAGCAGTGAAGAGCAGTGAACTGTTGAAAAAAGACCCTTTTCCAGAGGCAAAGGCAGAGACAAGAGTTGAAATTCTCCAAGAAATCATCCCTGGAAAGTTCTAAAACCTCTTTCGTCTCTTCCCTGAGTAAAATTGATAAACAAACAAAAGCAACTACACAACCAACTTGTGCAGTTTACATGTACACTATGTGCATGCAGATTGTTACAAATACGTATGTACAGTGTATCTACATGTAATCAACTCTTATTCTGAGAAAGTGCATTATCGTCCTTAATTGCTTTGGCACCTATCCCTGTTTTCCACGACACCCGCATCTTCTCCCCTGCCAAACAGTCTCCTAGCAGGGTGCATGAAATGAGAAATTCAATCCCAAGATGCCGAGCTGCTTGCTGGCGAATGACGAGCATCCCACATGCGTAGGGTCGCGTCGTGCCAATTCTTTAATGGGCCGCATTACCGGTACCATCCGTTATTGCCCTGCGCTTGAAACTTGCCATGGCTGGCTCGTCCCTGCTGTGGCTCGTCCCTGTGATAGTTTCCTGTGGCCAGAATTATAACACCATTCTCGTGGCGGTGTCAAGCAGTGTGGACGACGCTGGAATATGCAATTTCACTGTCTTCACGTTAAAGAGTCGCTCCACATCTTCGTTTTTTTACCAATCACTACTTCCATCATGATACACGATGAGCACCAATGAACGTTACACGGAATGTTTTGTATGTCCTGTGTATGTCACATAAGCAGACGCATGTACACGTATATGTACAATGTACAGTGTACATGTACATGTGAGCAACTTACGGTACATGTACATGTACAGTAGTTCTTTGTCCGACCACACAGTGTATTGAAAACACCGCTACCTAATGCAACAATCTGCATGCTTTTGCATGTACCAGCATACAGAATGCACGGTATAGGCCTACAATGTACTACATATTCCCTATAAAATATAAAAACATCTCTGGAAACATCAGTCTCTAATGATGTAGACGTCTCTTTAAGTACAGCCACTATCCCCTACATGCTGCAATGCCTGATTTGCCAGCAATGTGAGACCGCCTGGAGAGCAAATGTATTTAACACAGAGGCATGTTATGCTGTTCTGCAAACAATACTGTACATGTACATTGTGTATGCTTCACATGATGCATGCACCGCTGATCTACATGTTCAGGGCCTATATTCACAAAACGTAAACTTAAGAAAAACTTAAGTCGCAAATAAAATCGAAGCACCCTGCTAACTTATGTGGGGCGCTCAATTTGAGATTCACGAAAAAATAAGCACCTACTTATCTTAGTGCTACACTTAAGTCTCATAAGTAAATGTCTCATAAAGCTGACGTGTTGCTCATGTACATAAATCATTCATCAACAATGGTTGCTTATTTCCATAGTCAATCAATCAATTAAGATTACGGATGGATGCAGACAGGTTACAAAGCTGATTTTCCCATTTTTGGCTCAAAATTTTAAGCCTATTGCATCTACAAACAACAAGCAAAAATAAATCAAACACACGTTTGATACGCGATCCTCTCCCACGGAGGCGTTTAGATGCAAGACACATTGAAATCCCATTAAATAAACAACAATTTTGAAATCGCTGTTGCAATGATGCGCACGCGGATTCAACTAGAATAAGTTAATTGCAACACTTTGATTGTGAAAATTACATCATTGATAATTGAGCATCGCCGACTCAGTTTAATAATTATAACAATGGCCACCAAAGAGGTAAGCAGTCAAGAAAGCCTAACTTAGTTGACCATTCTTGCTGAATGGGAAAGACGGCAAGAGGTGTTGCGGTCCAAATTTTCTGCAAAAATCACAGCAGCTGCCAAACATAATGCCTGGCAAGAAATTACCGATGTGCTGAAAGCACAGTTTCCTTCTGTCCGACGGGATGTCAGCAAAATTCAAAAGAAATGGCAGAACATGAATAGCAAAATGAAGGAGAAAGCATCCGCGCAAAGAAAGGGTATCCCGTATCACCCATCAGGTGCATTTGTCCTTCTTGTCAATTTTCAAACTGTTCCCCGACCAGGCCTTCCCTTAGCACGTGGGAATCATGAGTACATGCCAGGCCACTTTGCATTAACTGCCGTAGAGTTGCATTTGTCATCGACTACAACTTGGACGTTTATTGAGTGGTAGTTTTTGCGATTTACAAACGGCTCTTCCTGCTCTGATGGAGCAATAATTCTGATGTGTGTGCCATTGATTGCCCCAATT